CTATTTTTTTGCCCTTTGGGTCCCACCAAGTATTACCTCCGTACCCCCATTCGCTGAATTAAAGACGTCTGGTAGAATATGTGTGATTTGCATTATTCGTCACGTAAAGTACAAGATTGAGAAGTGTTCATCGATTAAATAGAACATTAGACGGTATAAGCAGCTTTTACAAATCGACCAGAGCTGGCGATCCCGTTGAGGGATGAGCTGAGTACTTGGTTTGGACAAAGACCTTCTGGATGCCTCCCTCGCGATGGTCAAACAGTTCGTATAGTTTGTCCATATCCTCCAGGCGGACGCGATGAGACACAATGTCCAATGGGTTGATCTCACCCTTCTGGATCTGCTCAAGGAGATACTTCCAATACTTCTGCACTGGAGCCTGGCCATTGCCAATGAGCCGGACACCTGTCTGCATCAAAGCACCGATGTTAAAGTGGTTTGTCTGATAGTCGTTAGTTCACTGAACAAAGTCATAGGTAGATGTGGTTGTCACATACATAACCAGCGTAGACACCTGTAACTCCCACGCGGCCAAAGGGTCGGACAGATGTAATCATCTCGTTCAACATCTCTGAAGTGTCTGTCTCCATGCCCAAGAGCATCTCAAAATAATGTGCCCATCCTTTGGCGTACTCACCCGCCGTACAATCCAAAGCAACATCTGGTCCTCCAGGGACCATCTTCTTCAATTGAGATGTGATGGATTCCCCTCTGGGCAGCTTGGTGAAGTTCAAGGTCTCAAGCTTCGGGATTTTGCTCTGGACGAAATCCAAGCGCCAGGCGGCCTCTCCTCCGTCAATGAGGATGACTCTACTGGCTCCCTGTGAGAAGCTGAAGCTAGCCACCATTTGACCAATGGGTCCGGCACCCCAGACCGCAACTACATCGCCTTCATTTACCCCGGTGTCGACCACACAGTGGTACGAAGTGGCCAGGACGTCGGACAGATACAATGCTTTCTCGTCTGGAACATCATCCGGAAGCTTCAAGAGGTTGACATCACCATATGGAACTCGGACATACTCTGCTTGACCACCAGCAAAACCGCCAGTGAAGTGGCTGTAGCCAAAGATGCCTGCCCAGGATGCAGGTTAGCATTAAATATTGAGGTAAGCGGTTAGAAATACTATGAAATGGGTAATATACCGGACGTCCGTTTGCCATACATGGCATTTGTGACAGAATTCTGGTTGGTGCGTTCGCATTGGGAGGTCAGCTGCTTCTTGCAGTTCCGACACTCGCCGCACGCAATGGGGAAAGCTGCCACCACTCGATCTCCTTTTTTCACCTTCTTCGCTCCTGGTCCTACGCTCTCAACAACACCGCAAAATTCATGACCCAGGACATCACCTTTCTCGAGCTGAGGGATGACACCTGCAGGAAGCAACAGCGGTCAGGAAACTGCGAAAAAGGGCGAGGCATACTCGGACACAGAACACATACCATGATATAGATGAAGGTCACTTCCGCAAATGGTGCTCCCAGTCACTTTGACAAGTACGTCTCCTTCATCCACAACTCTTGGTTTAGGCATCTCCACTAATCACACAGGGTCAGATAAAGGAAAGCAGGAAGCCAAATCAGATACCGATCCTACTTACCAACCTCGACATGGTTCTTTCCGGTCCAGATGGTCGCCTTGATTTTCTCCCCAGTCTCCTGGCCATACTCCCCATAATAATTGCTCACATCCGTGGTGACGGAGGCGTTGCCGCTATGTCCGACTGCCTTCTCCACGAGGTTGGCAGCTTGTGTTGCAGCCATGATTGCGATTGGATTTGATATCTTAAGTGAATGAGGATATTTACTCGGTATTACAATATTTGCAGAAGAATCGATGGTGCAGGATTACGGGGCGCATGGGGGTATTTGTCTCGCCTCTCGCGGGGCCTCCATAGCTGACATCACGGTGAGGTCGGTGCCTGTCATGCTTGTCATGCTCTCCAGCAACGGTACCCCAATTCTGGTTCAAAGCTTGAAACAAAGCCGGTCGCCGACCCTACGGCACGCTTGTGTTAGGCAACGGTTGGGACCCGACTTACTGTCCTTTGGTGCTACCCAGATTCCATTGCTTCAGAAAGCTCTCTCTGAAATGACGTCATCTATCAACAACATTCAATGGCCTCGACAATTAGACAGTTAGTCAACTGGCTGGTCACGATATTGACATTGCACATGATAAATGAGGTAATTACCATATATACGAATACAAAATTTTGGGAGCACAAGGTCTGGGCCCTGTCAGCTGCCCTGTCGTTGCTTGTCCATGTTGGAGATGGCCGCGTTGCAGATCTCATCTTGCCCGTCGCTTATCGCGAGTCGGGTCTAACTTTAGATGCATGATTCTGCATTGATAGCTCAATTTATTCTCTTGGGTTACTCATGCTTCGTGTTGTCAACAGTTGTCAACATGAAGCACTTCTGCCTAAAAGCTCTCGGGTGCACTGCCAAGCCGGTCCCCGCCATTTATGATCTCTGTCTTCCCCGTGTCATCGAAGCTGTACAGCACCCGGTTGAACGCCCTGAAATCTCCGTCGCTGTCACTTCTTGAAGAGGGCGCCTCTGGTTGCCGAATAGGAAGTTTGCTTCTTGGGCCAATAAGACACCCTTCATTCCCGCCGGCTCACTCTTGTCTTGGCCAAATTCTTCGCGACGCCCTGGTCTCCCTCCTTAAATGCCATCATGAAACACCTCGATCGTTGGCTAGACCGGATTGCCCGTCATGCCAAAGAGATATTGGAGCCATCCTCCCAGCCTGTTGAGCAGACGGGTCCACCGCCCAATCAGCAGTATCACCGTCCCCCGCCGCCATTACCTCCAGGTTTGTACCGAAATTTCATACTTTGTTCACCCATTCCTGAAAGCTGTGATTGATTCTTTTGGGAAATGATCAGCTTGATCTTGCCATTAAGCTGTTTCCCTTCATTCTGTCGCTCTCGTATCCGTCTGCTTTGTTCCTGTTATAAGGATACCTTTTGGAGAAATATGAGTGATCCCGCGTGTTTATATTGTAGATCGCCTATGTATCATGTACTTATTGGCTTGGAAAAGTCGAGACCGCACCTTCGGCACTTAGCGACTGAAGTTTGTATACGAAACCAAAGTATACACAGTCAGGCGTACTTATATTGGGCTCAAGATAGCACTACTTTGCTTTCAGTTCGCTATATACGAAACTCAACCACACAGCTTCTTCAAAACCAACAACTGATGTTCAACACTGGATGAAATGCTGATCGGCTGTCTAATCTCATGGTTTATAGTTGCAACGCCGGTACTCGCCAGATCTGGCCCACAGACTGTTTTCGCTCATTTCATCGTGAGTACTTCTGCCTTTCATGAGAGAACGGCTCACTGACTGTGTCAGGTTGGAAATGCCGCTGCTATGACCCCCGAGCAGTGGGAGTCGGACATTAGAGAGGCACAGAAAGCTCATATCGATGGCTTTGCACTGAACATTGCTCCTCAGGACAGCTACACCGATGATGTCCTCGATAAAGCGTACTCTGCAGCGGAGAGCGTCGGGAATTTCTCCCTCTTCCTGTCTTTCGACTATGGATCCGGAGGCCCATGGCCGGCCGATCGGGTGATCACAACGATCAACACCTACCGGAATCGAAGTGCCCAATATTACTATCAGGGAAAGCCGCTAGTATCGACATTTATAGGGGCTGGTAATGCAGGCGACTGGCCGTACATCAAAGGTTCCGCTGATTGCTTCTTTATGCCATCCTGGCCCGATATGGGGCCGGCAAGACTCAGGGATTACCTGGACATCATTGACGGCGCTTTCAGTTGGGATGCCTGGCCGGTGGGGGCGCAGAACAAAAATGTGACGAGCGATCGCGAATGGATGCACGCCCTTTCTGGGAAGCCGTACATGATGCCTGTCTCTCCCTGGTTCTACACCAATTTACCCCAGTGGAACAAGAATTGGCTATGGCGTGGGGACGATTTGTGGCATATACGGTGGGAGCAAGTCATCAACTTACAGCCGGCCTTTGTCCAGGTAAGGCGATTCTCGGATGATGCTAGGCACTGCTGACCATGATTAGATTATCAGTTGGAATGATTACGGGGAATCCCACTATATAGGGCCAATCTATGAACCCGGGATGCCTGACGGATCTTCTAAGTACGTCTTGGATTGCCCGCACGATGCGTGGCGAGCCCTGCTGCCCCACTACATCGCCGCCTATCGAGGATTCGGTGCAAATAGTCCGTATCAGGCGAATCAGACACTACCCTTGGAGGATAAGATGGTGTACTGGTATCGCTTAAATCCGAGTTACGCTGGGAGCGCCAACGGCACGACGGGCAATGATCCTGGTGTGGGCCAGGAGGTGATGCCACCGAGTGAACTTGCCCAGGACCGAGTATTCGTCAGTGCTACTGTTAAAGATGCCTGCGAGGTATACGTCCAGATCGGATATTGCGAACCTACAATTCTTCAGGCGTCGGGTCCAGGAATCCATCACTTTTCGGTGCCGTTCAACGGGCAAACGGGGCCGGTGCGGATAATGATGGTCCGGAATGGCTATGAGGTTGCACTTACCGTTGGACCAGCGATCACGGATGACTGCAAGGATGGCAATGTCAATTGGAACGCGTATGTGGGAACGAGCGACTAAGCCGAAACTATGATACTAGATAGATGGAGATAGGAGATAGTGGTTCATCCTCGGCTCGGGCCAAGTGGGACGCAGCTTATCAGTGACGCAGCTCCCGATCAACTTGGCTGGTAAATAGATTCTGGGGGCTATAGACGCCCCTTATATTACCGTGATTCTTAAGCGATTGCTGTTGTGACTATTCCAATCAACTCCAATGACCGTAAGCTTTTCTTCGTTTACAATGAAGCCCACTTTTGCCTTCGCCCGACGGAGCTCCGGGCCTCAGCAACCAAACTGGTCACGGCGCTTATCGGAATGATCGTCGAAGCTCCGCTCAGCTGACCTCGTCCCTTCTCCGCTCTTCTCCAATTCTCTCCCTCTCCTCATCCTCTTCCTCCTCAATTGACCACTTGACTATTCCACTACTTTATCAACCACCTTTACAACCTTCCCTACAGCTTCATGGCCAAGAAGAGCATCATGGGCCTCCGTGAGGCCGCCATGGCCTATCGTCCCAGCTCGTCCGGCCACCTCCCCGACCCGGTCCAGGACTACTCTCCAGTCTCTCCTGCGCCCACCGCGCAACCTATTGCGGGACCGGGCTCCGTTAATCCAGATGACTATGCGAAACCTTACTGCGAGTTTATGACCGCGAATCCGACCATCTTCCATGCTGTTGACGGCTTCACCAAACAGCTGGAAAGCAAAGGTTACAAGCGCCTGCCCGAGCGCGAAGCGTGGACCTCCAAGCTCGAACGCGGCGGGAAATACTACTGCACTCGGAACTCCAGTGCGTTCATCGCGTTCTCCATTGGCAAGGATTACAAGAGTGGAAACGGTATGGCTATCGTGGCCGGTCACATTGACGCCCTCACCGCCAAGTTGAAGCCCGTGTCCAAGCTCCCCACAAAGGCCGGCTTTCAGCAGCTCGGGGTTGCCCCATATGCTGGTGCTCTGAATGAGACTTGGTGGGATCGGGATCTATCTATTGGTGGCCGTGTCTTGGTCCGGGACCCTAGCAGCGGAAAGGTCGAGTCCAAGTTGGTCAAGCTGGACTGGCCGATCGCCCGTATCCCCACCCTTGCACCGCACTTCGGCGCGCCGTCTCAGGGCCCGTTCAACAAGGAGACGCAGATGGTCCCTGTGATTGGCGTGGACAACTCCGACCTCTTCCAGCAGCAAACGTCCACCACCAGCCCCTTCGCGGCGGGCTCATTTGCCTCTACGCAGCCGGAGAAGCTCGTCAAAGTGATCTCCAAGGAATTGGGCATTACGGACTACAACACCATTCTCAACTGGGAACTGGAACTCTATGACAGTCAGCCAGCGCAGCTGGGTGGTCTGGAGAAGGACCTGATCTTTGCAGGGCGGATTGATGACAAGCTATGCTGCTACGCGGCTCAGGAGGCTCTGATCGCCTCGCCGGACAGCACATCCCCGGGATCGGTGAAGATGGTCGGTATGTTTGATGATGAGGAGATTGGCAGTTTGCTCCGCCAGGGTGCTCGGTCCAACTTCATGAGCAGTGTGATGGAGCGCATCGCCGAGGCCTTCGCTCCGAGCTATGGTCCCAACGTGCTGGCGCAGACCGTGGCCAACAGCTTCTTCGTCTCCTCGGACGTGATTCATGCCGTCAACCCCAACTTCCTCAACGTGTACCTGGAGAACCACGCCCCGCGCTTGAACGTCGGCGTGTCCGTCTCCGCCGACTCGAACGGACACATGACGACGGACAGTGTGAGCCATGCTTTCATGAAGCGTGTCGCTGAGCGCTGCGGCTCAACTCTGCAGGTCTTCCAGATCCGCAATGATTCCCGCAGTGGCGGCACTATCGGACCCATGACCAGCTCCCGGATTGGCATGCGGGCAATTGATGTGGGCATTCCTCAACTCAGTATGCATAGTATCCGGGCGACAACGGGTAGTCGGGATCCTGGTCTGGGAGTGCAGCTGTTCAAGGGTTTCTTCGACTACTTTGAGGAGATTGACAAGGAGTTTGCCGACTTTTAGACATGTTGTACTTTGATGATAGTCTAGATATAGATTCCCCAATGCTATGTGTAGTGCTTCGAATTCGGACTCCTTTTGTAAATTAAGTATTGATTTTAGTATACTCACGGACCTTTGTGGTTACATTCAAGGATTCGGCTTCTATGCTGGGCGAGGACAGAGAATCGAGACCGAGCTGTCCTGCATATTCAAGTCCAGCATGTAGCTTTCACCTCAATATCCATACCAAATAGAAAGCCGCCAATACCGACCATATAGACTCAACCCCAAAATAACCAACAAAGCACCCCCCGATAAAGCAACAAGAAGAAGTAGCTTTACCACTACCGAGGTACTCTAAAACGTTGTAGACCAATAGACCCAAATGCCATGTCCATAGCAAAACCATATTCTGCCCCCCTCCCCTCAAAGGCGGACAAAAAAGTAACAGAATGCTGACTCAGTTTTCCTGGACTGTATAAAATTATATCCGCTGATATCCGCTTATATCCGCAAACTTTTTGGCGAGGTCGACGGAGTTCTGCCGCTTTGGGCGGTCAACGAAACGGTCTGGGTGGGCAGTATGTGGATGAGCGATAGTTTGGGGGAAACCCTCAATGACACGGTTGGTGCAATTTGTTGTTGGTGGATTCAGAATCGAGCTTGTCAGTGCTACGGAGTAGTGGGGGAGAGAGAGATCTTGGTGATTTCTTCGAAGCCTGTAAGGTGGTTTGTTGGTATCTGCACTTCAGTTTTGATCTCTTGAACGTTCTATCTACTCCCAGCAATATGGTATCTGGGTTCTGCTGCATAGCCCATAATTATGGCGACATCTTCTCTGACACCATAGAAGGTTAAGTGGCTCGGTGGACGCTGTATGTGGTTCAATCATAGATATGGCTGACTGACGTGGGGAAAACCTGGATGAACTTTGGTCTATACGGAGTTGAAGGATGAATACATCTATCCTGGATACCACCCTCGATCATCATGTTCTCCGCTTCCTCGACGGTTTTCGGTGTGAACAAGCTCAAGGCTGCTAGTAGAAGTATGTGTGACGGTTCTTCAGAGGGTGGAAGAATTTCTCGAGAAATGTATGTCAACTCGCTAACCAGTAGACTCGACTTCGTTGTATATCGCGTCTATAGAAAGCAGGCAAAGAGACATGTCCCAACATTATATGATTGAGCGATATGTGTCTCGTGTTCTCAGCTGAGGCATACAGTCTTTATATAGAGAGGTATTGTTGGGATCCTTCTATAGGAATAGGCATGTTCTCCTCAATGCGATGCAGATTCTTCTCACAGACTATTCATATATAAGACTGTCTTTTGAAAAGGTTTAGTTGGTTGGTTAATATGCAACTGCTCACCAAATTCATTTGATAGAAAAAAACGCAAGTCAGATTCATCATAATTTATTGGAATTATCATGCACATTTACTGTGGTACTGTGCAAATTAGGTATTCTATTTTTCACTAGTAGTATAGCAATTTTCACGCTTGCGTCCATGATGACCATAGCGGTATTGACAGTGGTGCTGATCTTTCATCCAAAAGGGCAGTAAAAATTGTATGAGCTGTATGAAACTAAGGTTAAGACACCTAGTGAACAAAGAATCTGATTGATGAGCCTGTATACGCTTGTCGACATAAGCGGCAGGAAGACAAAGCCCTTATAGGGGTATTTCCTTTGAACCTAGGGAATGTCTTGGGAGTCCGAATGGATTTTATCTAACTATTCATGCTTATAGCTAAGGCTTTGTACTTCCTCTTAGTTGATCGGATTATGCTACCGGAATTTACCGTTAAGGTCCATTCAAAAGACAGTATTTACCGACAAAATCTTATAAAAGGTCAAATACACTCACACTCAGTTCTAGACGGGGTTCGAGCCCCCTCCCAAGGCATATATTTGCTTCAGTTGTATTATTACTATATTTACGGCCACAACGTCTAATGAGTAAGAGGATGAATCTGAAGAATACTCTTTAGGGATGCATCTATATCGGAACTAAGATGGTAGCACATGTTCTAACATATATGCAATATGCAATGTGGGAAATCCCAGCACAGCTGCAATCTATCTCTCACTATAAATGCCAATGAACTTTCCAGGATAAAGATTCAACTGAAGCATGTCTGGTAACCTTAAGACAAAGCAAACAAAGGCTTGATATACACTCCTCTGTCCATTCGGAAAACCCCAGATTGCATAGTTGCGCATCTCGCTACAGCCCAGCTAAATCACCCTAAAACTATAGAGCCATACACAATCGGCAACTGACATTGAAGTCCTCGTTGAATAATCTCTCTATTATGTTGCAGAACAAGGAGTTACCCTATCAGGGTCCTCCACCAGGTGGAAGATATGCTCACCAAGCTCTATGTCGTTTATTCGCACAAGGTTTGGCTTCAACAATGACCATGGTCAGACACGCAACTTCAATGATTTATATTCCTGTCAACCCACATTCAAGGACACGTTCTTGTCCTACAGCGACACTGCCTTACTTGCATCAAACCAAAATGTCTGGATACCAATACACAGGCCAGGAGGTGAACTACCAGCTAGTCGCAGATATAGTACAGCTCCTTGAAGAGAACGGTATACCATGTCTCCTAATTGGCGACTACATGTTTGAAGCCATGGGAGCGCCTGGGCTCCACGGCGTAAGTCAACTGCCTGACCTCATCTAGACTCTTCACAACCGACTAACCAAGCCAAACAGAACATCGAGCTCGTCCTTGAAAGCCATGATATAAACAAAGCAATCCGCATCCTCCGCAAAGCCAACTTCCCCGATGAGCAACCCATGTACTACACCCATCTGCTCTGTCCCTTTCCCCACATGGGACAAAAGACCGGTTCAGCCCGCGAAACCCCCTTCATCCCCTACCACTCATTCCACCTAAACGGGAGTGTCTGGGGAGAAATGGGCACGGAGTTCCACACCGATCTTTGTCTATACGAGAAGCGATATCTCTTCTGGGATCTGCCTGAGCTCACTCTAGGAGAACTGTTCGAAGATGACCCCCATTTCATCCTAGCCAGTGACCCCCGTCTCCCTCCCCAGAAGGACAAGCAGCATTGGGGCCGGTTTCCTGATACTCTGTACCCGGTCAAAATCCCCATGCCGGTGCGGTATGTCGAGGCGATGATGCTTCTGACTGCCAGGGACTGGCAAATCAAGGGACATGGGTGGGCTTGGCGGGCTGAGATAATTTATATGTGGAAGCATGTAAAAGGCCTGTTAAAGAAGTTCTTTGAGTTGGAGAGGTTCAAGCCGATATTTCGGTTCTGGTGGGCGGATTTGGAGACTTCGGAGACAATGCCCGGTGGGGAGGTGTTGTGTGTGCATAAGCTGCGGGGGGCTTTGGTGGCGGCGGGTATGATGCCTGAGACGCCGTTTACTTGGTTGAAGACGTATGATTGATCTCAGTAGTGATTGCTTGTCGTATATAGTATTTGGTGTATGCATAGTTTTGATATATGATTAATCAGTATTAATGGGGTAATCAGGTCTGACATGCTATGCCTCAAATCAGTCTTTGAAGAACGTTACCTATTGTTTCCCTGATTAGGATACATTTAATGCTTGAGAGTAGTGAGGTAGTAAATGCCAGGACCGGAAATTGGTCTCAAACTGTGGCGCAATCGGTGGGTAGACATGGGAGGGTTCAGCTGTAGTGGCGGACGTACATTCCGCAATGATCCTGATATTCAAGTCTCGCCAGGCCGTCATGAGGGCTTTACTAGTCTATATCCGGGATATACATGGTCTCACACTTCTCAGTACGAATTGCTCACGGACATTGAGAATTGAGAGTTGAGATAGTTGGAAAGGCTGATTTGGTGATAACATAGGGTTGAACATAGCAAGACAGCAGATTAGTAACTCAACCTTAAATACGAACGGTAATCAAAAGCATGGAATGAATCCTACACTAGACGATACAACCAACAGGAATTAGCTGAATAGATTATTTTCCCAAGAGGGCAAATGATTGTCTCCGTTCATGACATACGTCATACGCGAGTCCGACCGTTTCCCTCCTAACTATAATAAGCCACCAATATAGTATATGGTAGATAAGGCCCAAGCGTAAGCCCTTACTCCCACCCACCCGCCCCTATATGTCCTCTTCTCTATAGCACAATAGCGCCGATTACCCGGTCTGCTTACTGCTTACTGCCTACTGCTTACTTCCTACTTTCCATCCCACACAGCCAACCGATTGATCGACAGAAGGAAGTAAGTTAGCAAATGCATACAGACAACACCACTCATGACATCAATCAATATTCCAAAAAAATTCTATATACAGTTCACCATCACATGCCCATCGACCAAGATCACCAGACCCCTGAGCCAAGATGTACAAAAGAGAACCAGACTAACACGAAAATCGGCTCTCGGAACCCGGTCGGCCCAGCCTATAATCACTGATATGTTACACACCCCGAAATCCTCCTCTTATCCGACTGGAGGAGCATTAGACTACTTTCTAGGCGTCCAACTAGCTTCCTTCCTGCATTACCGGGACCAATCATTTTATGAGTTGGATACTGAGTGAGGGGGCTTGTGTGGAGGGATACTAGCTGGTTTGTAGTAGGTGTTATGATGGTAGTAGTAGAACAGGTAGTAGGTAGTAGTAGGGGTAGGGCAGGCAAGGTACACCGACGTTGTCCGTAGTTGATTGCTTGTCTCCCTGTTAGTTGTTTGGATGACGTTTTCTGTGTGTCTTTGGGGGGTTATAAATAGGGTGTCGAATATCTGGAAGATAGGGAATTCTTTCTCTTTCAATCAATCAATCAAGAATTCTTTTAGGGAGTTTCTATACTACATCCGATATGGTCGCCATCACCGCTAAATCTGAAGCGGCTTCTGCTACTTCGCCCATTCCTACCAATTCTAATACTACCATGACTACTACCCTCAACGGGGTAGATGGTTCAAAAGAGAAAGAAAAAGACCAGATACCCCCAAACAAAGAGGAAGGAACAAAAGCAGAAGAGAAAGAAACCGAAGCATACAACTCCTCCAACGGCGTCACCAGCCAACTCTGCAACTGGATCGCCTCTCTCCAGCTAGAAGACATTCCAGACTCTGTCCGCACCCGCGCCAAGTACCTCTTTCTCGATGGCATCGCCTGCGCACTCGTCGGTGCGCGCGTCCCATGGTCGCAGAAGGCTTTTGATGCGATGGCTGTTTTCGAGGAGAAGGGAAAGCATGTGGTTATTGGGTATGAAGAGGTAATCTCTCCTTCCCCCTATCTTCACCTTCCGGAAGGTATTGGTAAAGTACTAATCTATGTTGACAGCGCCTTGGTGCTATCGCCGCCGCAACCCTCAACGGCTCCTGGATCCAAGCCTGCGAAGTAGACGACTACCACAGCGTGGCGCCCCTGCACTCGCAGGCCGTGGTCATCCCTCCTCTCTTCGCTGCCGCCGTCAGTGCGCGGAACCATCCGACCGCACCGCGCATCATCGACGGGCGAACACTTCTTCTCGCCTCCGTGGTAGGGTTCGAGGTTGGTCCGCGCGTGGGCATGGCGCTACACGGCACCGAGATGCTCGCGAAGGGATGGCACTGCGGGTCTGTGTTTGGTGGACCCGCGGCCGCAGGCAGTTCTGCAAAACTACTCGGTTTGTCGGCGGGTCAAGTCGAAGACGCGATCGGAGTAGCAGCGACACAAGCATGCGGACTCATGGCGGCGCAGTACGACGGGATGGTGAAGCGGATGCATCATGGCTTCGCGGCAAGGAATGGACTGTTGGGCACGATGTTAGCGTGGGGAGGTTATGAAGGGATCAAGAAGGTGTTTGAGCGGCCGTATGGAGGATTTCTGGCAATGTTTGGCCTAGGGTCGAAGCACACGCCTAGTTCGAAGCCGGAGGAGGTGGCAAAGGATTTGGGGACGTTCTGGCACACGGCGGAGTGGATTCGGTTGAAGTTGCATGCGTGCTGTGGGGGGATTCATGGCACGATTGAGTGTTTGGCGGAGATGCAGGAGATGTATCCAGAGCGATTTGGACGGGAGAAACTAGGAGAGATCAAGGAGATTCGGATCCAGTTGAGTGATGCGGTGTTTCATCATTGTGGATGGGCGCCGGAGACGAGGCCGTTGACCCCGACGGGGGCGCAGATGAATACGGCGTTTGTGGCGGCCTCGCAGTTGGTGGATGGACAAGTGTTGTTGGAGCAGTTCTCGTCGGGGAAGTTGGATCGGGATGAGGTTTGGGAATTGATTGGGAAGACGAGTTGTATTCATACGGCGGAGTTGGACAAGCCGAATATTGGTTGTGGTGCGTTGATCTCCATCACGTTTGCGGATGGCAGTCAGGTTCAGCATTCGTTGTTGAAGCCGAAGGGGGTGGATGAACCCATTTCGAATGAGGAGATCTTGGAGAAGTTTCGTCGGTTGACGGGCGGGTTGATTGGGGTGGAGAGGCAGGAGAAGATTGAAAAGGCCGTGCTGGGGATGGAGGAGTTGCAGGATGTGGATGAGTTGATTGAGTTGCTGAGTGTGAATGTGGTCAATCCGTTGCAGTAGTATACTAGTCATCTGTTTTGATGCTTCTGGCGTTGGTCGTGTTGGGATAGTATCTCATAATTTTGAATTAATAAATCATTCAACATGGTGAAAATCATATTTGTGGACTATCGGTTGCTCTAAACTGTGCATAGGAAAGCGAAGAGGGCTGTAGGGTTATCTGTCTTCCGTAGAAGAGTCTGCTGAAAATTAAGCAGGTCATAAATTACGTACGATGATAGACACGCATTCAACACCACACATCATCGTATCTATGGTAGCTATCAGACCCATCCATCATCATCCCGAAATCATTATCCCAGACACTTGTGCCGCCATATTCAATGGAATATTTATTCGGTGTTGATGGTTTCTGTTCACAGCTTGATTGGGAACCATGTGGTGTTGGTGTTTGTGCTTGAAGACGCCGGTTCTGCTGGAGAAGCGAAGTAGCAATCTGACTACATAGCTGAGATACAGAGCGAATAGTATCAGCATGAGAACCTTCAGAAGCGTTTGTAGCAAGACACTCTGCACGTTTGGCGAAGAAAACAAGGGCATTGACGTCGGAAGTCACGACAGCTGGACAGTCATTGTTTTCGCGGTTGAGGAGGTGGATATAGACTTCGAGGAAGGGGGCAATGGGGTAACGTAGTAGAATGCTGGCAGAAGTCTTTATCAGTTCTCTAACTGGAAAAGTAATCTGGAGAACGATTCACCTTTCAAACATGGAGAAGCCGGAAATGTTGTCGCCCGGATGGTAGCTCTCACACAGTTCCTGAAGAAGCTGCAACCCCGTGCGAGCATGCTCAAGTCGAACCTGACGACTCTCCGAAGCAGGTATACAGCGCTGCACTAGCACATGGCAGATGCAGAGGGCGTATCGGAGTTCGATGGCCTGCTGTGCAGTAGTGGTGGTGCTGGCTGGGGGGTAGAGAATGTGACTGTGCTGGGTGGTCCAATCGTTGAGGCGTCGGATAAGCTTATAGGCACGCCGTCTCAGAGATTTCCGACTGACGCGCAGAATACTGGCGTAAAGTCTGCGAGAGATTCTTTCTTGAATCCGAGCGAGGGAGATGCGCGCATCGAATTGATCGCTGAGTAGAATGCCGGAGCTTGTCGGAAGCGGGAGACCAACGTCATAGGATGGCAAGAGACATGGTGTACCGGTTATTAGGGATGTGTGTTTCTTGTTCGATTAGCGGAGAACAGACAAGGTGATGGCGAACTCACATCTATAATGAAGAGAGACCAAAACAGATCCCGACACTCGGCGCATTGTCTTGCGGCATTGCCCATGCTCCGGTGTAGTCCCATCGACTTGGCGAGTTCACAGGCCTGGGTGAAGACAGTCTCGAATAATGTAAAGTGGAAGTATTTGAGAGCAACCAAAGCCTGCATCAACCTTTAGCCGGGTTCAAACAAATGCAGATCTGCCATACCAGGTTCAAGAGGGCTTGTACATTGGCCATACGCGGTTCTAGTAGTCTTTGGAAATTGTTGAAGCATTGCCGAATATTTTGCAATAGGTGGGTGATAAGGCTCGCTTCTAGAGGTATCATGCTAGTCTTCTTCGCTGTGGTGGACTTTCCTTCCAGTGTCTGAAGGAGGATGCTGTTGAGTGATACAAACCAGGCTGGATCGGGAGCATCCAGGGTTTCGTACTGAGTCCGCATGGCCGTCAGAACGCTCTGTCGGTCGTATATGGGGAGCAATGGACTGAGCTCAGTAAAGTATGTGTCGATGAAGGCTTCCAGAAAGGCTCGTGGTGGAAGACTAGGCGACTGGTCATCATATTGAAGGAAATCCAATAATGGAGGTTTGTCCGTGTCCAGTCGTTGGAAGAGCGCACTCGCACTGGTAATCTGAGCTTGCAGCAGCGAGCCAGAGGGGAAGGTGGCTTCAATTGATAACCCAGGACTGTTTGATGGTGGCAATGACGAGGCAAACCGGTCACCGGCAGCTCGAGCTTCAGTATAAATTGAGCTCGGTTGCTGGTACCCATCACTCCCCAAAGCCTCAGCAACCAAATTATCTGTCTGGCTTTCCTCGGATGTACTGTAATTCGTACATGACCCCCAAGCACTCGATCGTCGGGTGTTTGAGCTGTAAGAGCTGGTCGAGACACCGCTGAGAGGCGAGGTGGAGGCTTGTACGCTAGATGAGAATCGAACAACTGCTTCTTCAAATCGTTGCAAACGAGTTGCAAGTGATTGGACATCATCAACCCTGTAATCAAGTCAGCCGCAATAATCAGACTCTCCGGGATGAGACAGACAGCTTCTTGGTATGATCAATCCGCTTCCCCTTAGTGTATTGACAGACCAACCCTGACTTGCGGCAACTAGAGCACAAGGGCGATTTCCTGTCGCATCGAACCTTACGGATCCGACATTCGTTGCAAGCATACTCAGGGGCCGACGTCTTCATGTTCCTACCAGTTTTCATGTCTGTGTTCCAGTGCCGTCCACCGAGAAAAGCAACAATGTATGTTGTGGGCAAGAAATTGTCCTCTGTTAATGAAAGACAAGGGGAACCAGGCAGGAGGTAGGGTCTCGCCCCGTATATTCGTCATAGAGCATCCATCTACGTTCAGCGCCACACTTGATCTCCATCATTGCATTCAATGTTATCAAAGATAATGCAAGTGCCAAGAAAGCAGCTACCATGTTGTGCATAGGAAGGACGACGATCTAACCTAAAGAAGCACTCAATCGAGATCCTACCGGGCCAACATCAGACCTAGCTGTCTGTGCCTTATGCACAAGAACCATGACACAAGTAGAACGTCAGAGATTCTTATGCCTATCAAGGCAGGCATAGTATCTACCGGTCATTAGCTTGGTATCGAAGCCAGAAGCCGGCACTAGGCCAGGCGTGGTGGCCCATGCTACGGGCCGACGGACTATAATCTTACCTCAGATCATGAATAAGGATATTGCCGAAACACCGTTTTGAAGAGCGACGGGATAAAGTGATAACCGTTTCGGTTCAGTTGCGAGACCTTCAACTTCCTGAATTACTGTTTTATAGTATCGCGCCAGGTGCTGGTCTGCGGGTATGAGAGAGAAAGTTCATCTGCAAGCAAGCCACTGCTGCATAATCTGTGACTTATCCGCACTGTGAAATCAGCGAAAAGAATCGGTCTCACTGATAATTGCCGAGGCCCGAAGATGGCAGGATCGCTCATCATTTCAGTGGGTCATGATTCTTAGGCCGCTGCGGCGCTTCACAGTTAGTGGAGGGCCGACTGGGGATTGCTTGCCGATTAGGGCTAGCTGCCTATCCCACTTGGCCTTATCATGAAGGAATGCATGGGGGCTGGAACAAAGAATAGTATAGTATATATATAACTTGGTCGAACAAGACAACAGCCAGTAGATACATCGGCAGAGGTATAGACAGAAAGGAAACACACGCTTAAAGAACGAAATGGTAACAATAGCTCCTATAATATATTATCAGTAAGAATGACATCAACATACTGCGACTCCTATTGGCCTGGTCGACTGCCCATGGTACGCTGTTCATGATGATGACGGTGATGCGATGTCTGATCGCACATCCTTCCCCGTCACTGAATCGCGGAAACCGGCCGAATTATTGGTCTCTCGCACCATAAGCTTTCCTTTCCCCCCAAGTTCATGTCCCGGAACAAGTGTAAGGTATCTGTCCGAGTCTCCCGTGCAATGAGCGTACTCCAGATCGTCCATGTGTGTGGTAATCGTAGTCGTCACCGTGCCGGTGCCATTCCAGAACGTTGGCGGTTGGCTTTGCGATGAGGGCGCATGTGCGTAGCCGTACGCATGGCCTCCACCGCTTAGAGTCGAGAGGAAGTGTGGAAGAAGTCGCGAAATGAGAGGCCGGAGGGTAGGCAGGCAAGCACAGATTATCCCCGTGTTGCATTCAATTGCAGACCAGGATGCAGCACCGACATTGTCGTCTAAGTACTCTGTTAGTCACAAGCCGCGTGATGTGCTAGAGGGACGACTTACAAGTAGGGTCGGTAGAGTCGGAAATCTTCTTCAGGGAAACCAACCGGCAAACACTAGTTACGCAGACACTAGATACAGCGTTAGTAAGAGTCCATTGCCAACAGTGCGTGGGTACCGGGACACTCACAATCCACCCAGAGCGAAAATCGAAATCAAGGCCATTCTCTGCCTCTGCGGCAATTCAAGCCCCGACAAGGCCGGGATTGGTATCAACAATATCACGATATCAGTAGCGATGTGCATGGACGCGTTCGAGAACCACAGTCCCTCCATGCTCAGACAGTATCCCGGAATAGTCGGGTTCCAGAATTTGGCGACGGGAATGCAATTGAGGAAAGCACTGAGGACCGCCCACGATCCGTAGGTAGCGAGCACGCCGATCATAATCCAGGAAATGCGCCGCATGCGCCGGGTTGGAAACACGCGGAAATACTGCATTAAAATTGACGCTTTGGCAAGCAGCAAAGCAGCATTGTAGAATGGAATGGTAAGCCAGAATGCCTGATCGACCAGCTTATATTAACACCAAGCCGCGCATGCTGTATAGGTTATTAACTTACCTTCATCTGTTTTAACAGGACTGATGGTGGGATGTGTGCCTCATGCATTCCCATCCCATTCAGGGCCTCCACGACGAATAGACCCATAAAGACATAGGACAACGTCTTACCAATTCCGGTAGTCAGCAACTTGCTGTTTTTCTGTCGGGGATTCATGCACCTACCAAGGACAGCAATATCATCCAGTCGTTTGGCTCCATGCGGTGCATCAACTTGGTGCGCGTGTAAATACGAGCAGCAACACAACATGTTGCTAGACTGGTAAACACAACACTGACGGCTAACGCTCGACCCCCTCGGGGTGACATGTATGACCCGTGCGCACCATCGTCCGTTCGGGCGAAATGAGTGTGAGAGTCCATCATGGTCGCATTCAAAATGATCGTTCCGTGGGAGCACTTAGACGAGGCTTGGTCTTTTGGGGTTCCAAAGACAAGTCGGGCTGAACAAGGGTATAATGTGGCCGAGGGTTCACGAGTACACGGGCCTCTGTGTACAGAGACCAGCAACGTTACTCATATAAAACCTGGGGTCCGACTGACCCCCCAATGAGCGAAAGGAGCACTGTTCCGCGTGTCACTGTGAGGGGGACACTCGCAGGGGAAGGGGGAAAAGATGGGGATATAAACGTTTTGCGCTTGGTGAGACCCAGTAACGGCTCTGTCTGACTAGAAGGATGCGAATAGACCAATGGTACCGAGCCCGTGAAGATCCTCAGTCATGTCTAATTGCTGCTCCGGATTCACGGACCGACCCTAGGACAGGAGCTGGGTCCAATGGGTGTGTGGTGCAGAAAGGGAGGGCAGGAAAAGCAAGCAAGGGAGGAGACAAATAAGCAAATGATAGAGAGCAGCCACAATGTGGTCCTGGCACAAAGTCAGGTTGATAGATGGGTAAAGGCAACAAAAAGGTACATTTGGTGCCTCGCGCGATTTCTTTTTCTGGTTTTTCTTGCAGCCATTGTGCGTAGGTTTTGCGGAGAGTGACTGGAGAGGTCTCTATGCATAGCAGAGGCCTAAGCGACATGTTCCAGCCCTGTGGTGTCGCTAGGGTTATTGATACTGTCGATGATGATCGGCCATTGACTGCATCCGCGGTCACTGAAAAAAATACCGCCCAGTCTGGTCTGTCAAAGACAAAAGTGGAGAGACGGTGGATCGACGGTGTATCCAAAACTCTCCTCTGGTTGGATGCATACATGGATTGTTCTATGCGTCTGCGGAGGCACTTGCATACGACCGGCGTGCGTACGAAGTACATACATTGTGCGTAGAGCTGTCTGTCTCGAACCTGACGAATCTTGACGGGCTGGATGACAGTCTGCCCAGCCAGCAGATCGTGGAGCCCACGACTCCTTGCCCTGGGACTGGGGCCGGAGCTGTCATTGAGCCATGCCACAGCGCAGAGGCCAGGTAAGCTGCAAGAATCGATTATCTCCGAGTCTGTCCTTTCCACAGTGCCTACAAATGGCCTGTGCCCCTGGTTGACATCAGGTGACTCTCTATTTTCCCCCTAAGAGGGCTTTTCTGGGTGATGTTGTACAGGGAGGGGATCAATCAAAATCAGTCCTGCCACAGGTCCTACATAGGGGCAGGGATGAGCAGAGTAAGGGATGCAAAGGACTGTCATACTTTCTCCCCTATCGATACTTCCATGAATCTCAAAATGATTGATTCAATTCTGGATAAGCACTCGACCTTGTGAGGGGGGAGGCATTATCCGTTATCAAAAGTACTTCTGGGTGCGCCAGCTGGCCGATGCGACCTGTCATTTCCTTCTTTGGGAATTTCATGGCATGATTTCCGGGGCCTTGAACAGAGCCACATTAAATAACGGACATGCAGGGGGGCAAAGTACCGTACAGGCGGAAATTCGTGTCTCTATCTACAGCCCGTGAGGAGACTCGACGAATAGGCCATCAATTTTGTCAAACAATGCTGATTGATCAGTAGGGTGCTGGTGTTGGTGCGGTTATTTGACTGAAACGCCCGGCGTGGAAAAGAAAGACGATGTATCACATCCGACTAGGCGCGCCGGGACCTTCCTCCGGGTTGGCCAAAAACAGCCAACCGCAGACGAAACTCGAGTCCGCTCATTTACTTATTGTCTATTGATCTTTTAGAATTGGATGATTATCGGTCCATTGTCGCTTGGCCATAGCGTGCTTTTTTTTTTTTTTTTTCTCTAGGAGGAAAGCAGCATTTGGTGCTGCGCGTTCGGCTCTGGTAAGCCTCCCTCGTCGCCACCGCACTGATAGTTCCACGCAGAGCCATATCCATTGGTCGATCAGTACGCCTGCATTCTGGATTGGCCGAAGTGGAGTGTGCGTCAAGATCTCCTACCAGCCATCAGGAGTTGGGTAACACAATCGTGGGACTCATCCACTCCCAATTATATATCTCGGGAATCATACCCGTAGCGACCCGGGCAAAGAATCACCAAGATTACTACTGAAGGCCTTTTCTTGACCCATTCGAGTGAGCCAACAGTATTCATGAACTGGTCGTGAATATGGTGTATTCATCGCCTTAGTTTGACTGTATGGAAACGAGGCAGCCGGTTGCCTTCCACCCAGAGAGCCAGCGTCTGGACAGGTCAAGCGCAGCGATTTTTCTATATATAAACATTATTAGGAATTCTGCCATGTATCGAATAGAGCGTATAGCATGGACCATAAGATGATCAAAGTCCACACGTGGACACACATACTCTCTCTTTATCTCGTCGTTCTTGCTTGCGTGTCTACTCAAAATTCGTGTTGCTCGGCGATGGTGACTGAAAAGTTCTTCCAGTTGAAGTGTCAGCTGGCATTTGCGCGCCACCGTTATGGCAAAGCCAATCAAACACGACAAAATAACCCAAAATTTTGAAGTGCCAGTTGCTTTGATAGCTGTGAGCTATGCACGATAGTCATAGATCCCCGTCACATACAGTAGCTTCTGAGTCGGATTGAAATCATCCGCGGTACAGAATACCTGTCAGCAAAAATCCACCGGACGAACGGCCTATCAGTCTTTTGATTCCATGGATACCTGCATTAGTGTGAAGATAGATAGACGCATGTCCAGGGTACTGTTCGCACTTCTGCAGTCAGACGGAGTACTCCGTCCAGGCACCTCCATTCAGAACCCGCAAACTGACTGTGTGCAGGTCGAGACGAAGAATGAGTCAATTGTATGCAAGTACTTTTGGCAAGTGGACTCACCGTGGCCCTGCTCGGTTGATGCTAGTCGCCATCATTCATTTTGCTAAGGACGGAACACGCACTCCTTTCATTTTTCGCGCGGAGAGCTCGGCATCCTGATGGTGCCATGCGAAATTAATGAGATTCTCGTGGTGCCTCTAATCTCCTCGATTGTTCGTTTTTTTCGATTCCCGAGGACTGCGTGGTTTTGGAAGGCTACTGGTGTGTCGACGACCTTGAGTACTCGTACTTTGGATGGCTCTGATGGATCAGGGACGGGGCCTTCTGCATTGGAATGACCTGTCATTGCCATGTGATTTCAAATACATAGACTTTGTATGTGAATGTCCAGATGACAGACAGACCACGATAGTGGCTTTTCGAGGGAATCTGTCAGAATATTCTGAATCTTCCGGGACGATGGATCAGACACAGGAATTCCGGCTTGTTTACTATGGCACTGACCAGTTGTCGCGCGAGTGATGGGTGAGAAAGTCGGAAGAGTCTCGATAAGCGGGCGCTAAGATAAGGAACGATGCACAGACCAATTGAAAATCCCATCCGAGGAATTTCCATCCAACAATTGCGGCCCAAGAGTCAATCAATACACTCACTCCTACATTGATTTTCCATTCACAAAGTTTGATAGACGGTCGCAGAGATACTAACATCATCTACCGCCAAAATGACGGACTCTTCATCGCCTGTGAAGCCCGTCCACACCATCGTCCTTGACGCCGGTCCCATCTTGAAGAATACCCCGCCGCTATCCACGCTGCTCGCACAATGCGAAGAACTTCTCATCACCCCCTCCGTCGTCAGCGAAATCCGTGATCCTGACGCCCGCCAGCGCGTCGAGACACTCTACCTCCCCTTCTTGAAGCAGCGCACACCATCCCCGAAAAGCGTCAGTGTCCTGAGCGAATTTGCACGCAAGACTGGTGATCGGGCTGTCCTGAGTAAAACGGATATTGAGGTTCTGGCGCTTGCATACGAGATTGAATGCGAGCGCAATGGTGGTGATTGGAGACTGAGAAGTGTTCCGGGGCAGAAACAGGTGAACGGAAAACCACCCGTCAAGGAGGAGAAGGCCGAAGAGGAGGGAGAAGAGGCCAAGGGTGAGACTGAGGGCGAGACCACCCAAAAGGAAGAGAACAAAGACGGTGGTGATGAGGTGAATGCCGTTGCGGAAGATCTGAAGAACGCAAGCTTGGGAGAGGAGACCAGCACACAGGAGACCGCGTTGCAAAATGCCTCTGTAGAGGCCCAGACAGAGGAACCGACTCCTCAGGACGCTGACGACGCCCAAGAGGAGGAAGATGATGGCGATGATTCGGATGGTGGCTGGATCACGCCCTCTAACTTGAAGAAGCGGCAGGCCCGCGATGAGGCTAGCTCTGCGGCTGCGGCGCCGGAGCCCAAGGTGATGCAGGTTGCCACCATGACTACCGATTTTGCGGTATGCTTTGGAATTTCACCCAGAATGACTATGTTCCATACTAACTAGGATACAGTGTCAAAACGTGCTGCTACAGATGAACTTGAACTTGCTCTCCACTTCCACCCTGCAGCGAATCCGCCATCTGAAGTCTTTCATTAAGCGGTGCCATGCCTGTTTCTTCACCACCAAAGACATGAACAAGCAGTTTTGTCCCCGCTGCGGCAAAGACACGCTCACCCGCGTCTCCTGCACGACTGACGCGAATGGACAGTTCAAGATGCACTTGAAAAAGAACATGCAGTGGAACAACCGCGGCAACCGTTTCAGTGTCCCTAAGCCCGTCCACGGCACTTCTAACGGAAAGTGGAAGGGAGGTGGTGGTAAGGGTGGCTGGGGAACGGAATTGATTCTGGCGGAAGACCAGAAGGAGTATGTTCGAGCCACCGCAGAGCAGAACCGCAGAATGCGCAAGGAGCACGACCTCATGGACGAGGACTACCTCCCAAGCATCCTGACTGGAGAGCGGAACAAGAACGGTCGGGTCCGTGTGGGAGCTGGCAGGAATGTCAACTCGAGGAAGCGGTAATGGCATGGCTTCTCGTCTCTTTGCATCAGTCTGGGTTGGCGTCTGGCTTAAAAGTTTATGGCTGCACCTTTGGTCTATTTCTGTGATGGATTATGATGAACGGCTCGTGATCAACGATTTATAGAGCATACACATAGCATATGCTAGGTAACGAATATAGAGCAAATTCTTGGATGGTATATTTTGCACACTAAGATACCGGCCATGGGCACCGCACAGAAACCGAACAAAAGTTTCTCATCGTCCAAAGACCATAGATAACACCATTCGCCATAAATGATTCAAAGCACCTTTTGTATCTCAATCATGTTTTTCCGTCAACCCGTTTACAGCTTAGCAGCCTCCTTGTCTGTAGTCTGTCGTCAGCCATGTCCACCATAATGGGAATTGTACTCGGGGTTTCATACCGACTTGCTGGGTCAGAAGGAGACCATATCTCTTCTTGAGGGTCACACGGTGACTAGATAGTCAATATCATTAGTCCAAAGTCTCTCTCCGATGTGTCTGAATACCGTTGGCGAAGAGGAACCTACCGGGAGTACTTGTCATCGGGAGAGAAACGGGCGGGGTGAGCACTCTTGGTAACGCGACCATCCTCGGTGACCTTCTTCAGGGTGTAAACCCGCTTGCCATCAGGGCCCAGAGAGTCTTTGTGCATTCGTTAGTTATGACCGATCGAGGGGAGTCCGACTGCGGAGAAACATACACATAAGATGCATCCTAAAGATCTTCAGTCAGTACGAGCGAGTAGCATTGAAGTAGACTGCAGACAGACTTACTTGAAAAATTAGATCTGTTAGTCGACTGAAACACGAAAGAGAGGTGCTGGGTGGTGAACGAGTGCGTTTATCGATGCCAAACCGCTGGACTTGAACTTCGGCGATACGCAGGAAATTTTTGGCGGAGCGAACGGGGCACGGGCCAAGGGCCAGCTTAGTCACGCGCGGTCCCATTTAAGGCTGCCCAAGCGAGCTCCAAACACTTTTTTCTTCCTTCCGCAAACCATCCCATCGCACTTCAGGCAGGATGAGGGAATATTGAGGATGTTGATGATGATAATGCGCATCCATTCCCGTCTTGCATAATGACTCTGGGATCCTTTCGCTAATTGATATTTTGTATTTCTAAAGATACACTACATCGCATCACGAGGGACAAGCTGCCTCTCGTGTAATGGCTTGACCAACCCCAGATCTTGCACAGGATTTCGGGTAAGCTTCAGCCAGCAGCCTTGTCGGTCTTGCTGGAAGGATTTTTGCTTTCATTGTTTTCTCCGGTGATGATGACATACCTAAGCTTAGGCAATGGCAACCTTGATTTCTCGCTGTTGTCAGTGAAGGCTTTGTATTGACTACAACGGTATCTGAGGAGAAACAAAACAATGATTCTGATTACTTCTGTCGGGGTTGGCGATGGCGGCTACATTCCAGCTTGTAACTGAAGAGTTTCTTGCTGACTCTTCCCTGTAGTTAGAATCGAATATCTATCCAATTGAGCTTATAAGAATTACTGTTAAATATGGCTTCCAATACAATTCCTAGTCCTGCTTCGGAGACTGCTGCTCCTGGCAAAACCGACTCTTCTCAAAAAAACAATGCTCCCCCAGCTCGTCGTTCGCGGCCTCCAAGGCCCAACTACCGACACATCCATCGCTTCCCTTTCCCGGTTGAGGTGCATCCTCTCCCTCCTCTCATCCCCCATAACCCTCTCTCGCTCGTCAGTGTACTGCTTTCCTACCTGACGTACTTTATTTCTCCCCCTCACCAGGAAGTCTACTCTGCCTACTTTGACTCTGCCACATCCTCGGTCCATGTCACAGATCCTAAGGCTATAAAGGCGCTATGGGAGATGGGTTTCTTTGGTAAGGGAACCCTGAGTCGAAGTGAGCCGAGCTGGCTTGAGCGTGAGAAGAAGAGACGAGGTCTACTTGGGGGAATGACTAGCGAAGAGGTTACACGACAGCGGCGGACGGAACGCCGCGAATTGAAATTGGAGCGCGCGAGGATGGAAAAGCTTGCCATTGAGGAGAGACTCAAGGCCGAAGCGGCTGCCAGGGACGGCACCGCGACGTCAAACGAGCAGTCATCCCTCTCACCCACTCCGAACAGTGGCTCTGAAGGCGCAGTATCAACTACGGAGAAGTTTTCCCTAAGGAAAGCACGGGAAGCCAGGGAAGCCAAGCTCCTTGAGTCACAACGTTTAGTATCACAAGACGGCAATGCACGCACCCCTAACTCCGCCGGAAAGCGGTCACCTAGTGGCAGCAAAACTGTGCGGTTTTCTCCGGTTGTTCAAGCCAAGGAGTTTGCTTCTGATTCGGCTATTCTGAGCTTGCCAGAAACATCTGCGGATGGAAAGGTGGACGGAGGTAAGGCAGATGAGGAGCCGGAATTAAGTAATGAAGAGCACCTTCAATTATCTAACGAAGAGGCCTTCTTTCTTGCATATGGGCTGGGTGTCTTGCGTGTTCGCGATGATACTCGCAAATCCGAGATTCCTACATCTTCTCTGCTGCCATTATTATGTCGACACTCCTACTTCCCTCCTAGAGCCCCGTCAGCGGATCTCACGCCGGACGACCCATTTATGATATCATATGCTGTGTACCACCATTTCCGTTCTTTGGGTTGGGTTGTGCGCTCCGGAGTGAAGTTCGGTGTGGACTACATCCTCTACAACCGTGGTCCGGTCTTCTCACATGCTGAGTTTGCTGTCGTGGTCGTCCCATCCTATGGCCATGGCTACTGGTCTGAAACGGCCGAGCGGAAGGCCCAGTGTGAGGAGAAGACAGCGCGCAGTTGGTGGTGGCTGCATTGTGTCAATCGAGTCCAGGCCCAGGTGAAGAAGAGCTTGGTGGTATGCTATGTGGAAGTGCCTCCGCCAACGTCTTACGAGCTGGATACTCCCTCGGAAGAGGATATTGGCTCGATGTTGGCTCGTTATCAAGTCCGGGAAATGGTTATCCGAAGATGGGTTCCCAATCGGACTCGGGACTAGAATGAGTGCATCATCTGGTTTCTCTGTACTATATGTGTTCGAGCGTTTGGGTTTTCTTTTGGCAAGACGTAAAGCACCTTACTCATTGTAACCATATGTAACCCTGCTCCTCTCACAAACCATTATGGTTGGCATTGTTGATCACGATTTTCTGGTGTGAAGAATGCAACATTGACATACTCCTGCGCTCCTTTTATAGTACTGCTCATCCTCTCGTTCTATAGACGAATTGTAGATCGTCTTCGGCTTGTCGATTCGGACAGGCTAAACCTGAAGCGGTAATATTGAGGAATCACGTGAGTGACGCGTTTCGCGTTTTGCATTTTACGGTATTCCGTCCATTTGGAAAGAGCACGAGAACAGTCGAGGAAGCCGAGTGGTGAAAGTGTTCGTGGGTTTGGGGCGCCAGGCACCTCGGCAATGAGCCATCGCTTGTGCTGTGTAACAGACATCGCAGTGTAAGAGGGATTATGGAGACGCAGCAGGATAGCATCGACATCGCGAAGCTGCAACGCGTCGCGTTGGGGCTTGTGAGTGACGGCCTCTCCCGGTGGCGGAGTCTCTGATCTCCATTCGCTAACATCATTCGTCTGCTATCCATCAGGAACCTGCACCTTCGCAGCTTCAATTTAATGGCCTGGGGACAGTTGCAAACTTCGACTGTCGCCCGGAAGCCCATCAAAAGTCACCGTTTTCCTCACCCGCTCACAAGAAGGATCGAAAATCCCCGACGCCGTCGTCGCCTTCACGGTCATCCTCGCGATCACATAATGCTACAACTTCGATGAATACGAATCCAGCATCCAAAACCAACTCTACAAACCCTTCTACGGCCCCAGTGCCTCCTTCTACGAAAATGCCTTCGGTAGATGCCGTTCCTTCGGACACGCAGGTCGTCTCTCAGTCAGTTTACGATGAAATCATCAGGAAGAACCAGGAGGCTGCGGACAACGCTCAGGAGAGCAATTTGGGTGATCAGGCAACGCTTATGACCCTTCAAGAAGGCGATAGCGGACATCTTGATTTGCTATCTGGCTACGATCCTCTTCATACTGATGCTGTCAACGAGGACCTTGAGGATCAGAGTAGCTCGAAGCTGGGAGAATCTTCGCCCATGCTGCATCAGCCGAATCTCTTTCCCGAGTCGCAGAGGTTTCTGACAAAGACTCCCATGACAGCAGTGAAGCGTGCCCACTCTGAGGGCCTTGCCACTGTGTCTCCCACTGCTTCGCGGAATCCCCTTGCGGCAGATATCGGGTCAAGTGGTGGGATATTGGCACTAAGTCAGGTATTTAGGGCAACTCAGGCTCCATCATCACCTCTAGTGAATGGCCAGCAATCCGACCCTATGTCAGATCGACCTTCTCCGAATATTCCCATTCAGAGCCACCCGGTTGTTACAACGCTCTCCTCACCTTACAATAATCTCGCCGCAACTTTTCCACGGGACACATCCGCCCACAGATGGAACTACATCAGCATGCAGGAATCTCAAGCCAACCGGGATAAGGCATTGCATGAAAGAATGACACGTTCTGCAAACCATGTGTACTCGGACCAAAGCGACGGGGAATTTGATAAGGAGCCTAGTTTTGTTGAGCGAATGAGGCGCCGGAAGATGTTTGACCACGAGGCCGATGCTCAGCTTGTGGAGCTCACAGCCCCTGCGAGGCCATCCAGTCGGCGTGGTAATCAAGCGGACATGATCCTAAATCCCGTATCTGAAGTGCCTGAAGGCCCAGATCTGACTGATGGGTCTTCTGGGGAAATCGAGGAGGTGAGAGAGCAGGGATCTACCGGGCTGCAGCATGGGGCGCTCAGCGAAGAAGAAACGGAACAAGAGCAAGAGGATGACTTGGAACAGCCCACGCCACGGCCTTACGATCTCGATGGTTCAGCCGAGGAGGATAAAGAAAATTGCCACGACCTTTCCACAACCAGTGCTGCTGCTGCGAGCGCACATGACCGCCTATCACAAGCTCTTGCCTTGCATGAAAGTCCGTGTCCAACCAATGGGGAAGCAGTAAACGCGCGAGAAAGGTCGCTTTCGCGTTCTGGCAGCTTTGTACAGGATGAGCAGTTGCATGAAGGCTACTCCTCACAGGTCTCAGTCATTAAAGACTCTCAGCGCTCCGCTGGTCGGAGGGATCCTGGTAATGATGACACAGAGGAGCAATGGACCGCGCAGCGCATACATCAATCAGGCTCTCAGGCTCATATGGGGCCTTTGTCTGATGTAGACCGAGCAACTCCATCACCCACAAAGCAAGTTCGTATACGTTCTTCTCCCCCTTCAGCGTCCCAGGCCAGCCGACGATCGCTCGAGTTAGGCCGCGCTCACTCGGTGAGCAGGCCTGGATCAGAGCTAGGTAGTCCATCTCGCTCCCAGACTCCACGGCCCTCGTTGGCTCAAAAGCATAACATGGTGGAGTCAAGCAATTCAGCTGCGCAGGGGGCCGCGGATACAGGCAATGAACCATCTACGTTGGATCGACCCGAGAAGTCCTCATCTATGCCCTCGCGCGTCGCCGAGACTCCTGTTGCTCCTAGGGCTTTTGCAGAAATCATACCAATGACTAGTATTCCCGAAACGAGTCCCAGCCGCCTTGGTCACCAAAGGTGGCCAAACGATCATAACACAACCGATGTAGCTGATCAAGAAGATGACGACTTGCCGCCGGTGTACATGGATGCGCATGAAAGGGGGTCCCGTTCTCAACCAATGGTTGCAGATAGCTCGTCGCCCCTGAAACCTTCCTCGTTCCATAATTCAAAAATTTTGTCCAGCCCAAGCGGCAGACAGCGCAGGGCACTGACGGAAATCGCAGCCGATGCTTCACCACAGATTGGGGCTGGCTCTTTCAACCTTGACATTAATATCCTGTCCGCTGACGACCGGGAGTTCCGGTCTGCGGTTGCAATGTCTCCTATTCAGCCCAGGAAGAAGCGCCGCGGTAACGGTGGGCAGAGTGTTTACGCTTCCGACCCAGTGTTCCCTGTTACACCTCGCGCGCCTACTCATGTCGTGCCTTCTCCAGAGAAGGAAATGCCACCTATCAATGAGGTGGAGCCAGAGAAGCAAGCTGAGCCGGCCACCAAGCCAATACCAACCTATCGGAGACGGTCCAGACCTGCTAGAAGAGCGGAGAGTATATGGGATATGGATGATTCTACTCAATATCACGTCTCTCGTAAAGAGAGGTCTCGGCTTCTAGGTCGCTCACATCCGGTAAAACAGGTGCCTGCTGAGGTTGAAGAGCATGCTCCCGTTCAAGAAGAACTGCCTGCCGTTTACGAGGATCAGGCGGTCAGTTCAATGCCTGAGCCATCCAGTGAACCAGTCGCACCCCAACCAACAGAAACAGCATCTGAAAAGGATCCAGTTGTGGAGACACCGCCTCGAGTTCAACAACCAGCTCAGCCTTCAGTTAGCCATGATAACGTACCTATCGCCGTCAACCAAGTCCTTGCCCCATGGAGCGGGCCAAAGCGCGCGTATTATCCTGCAACGTGCTTTGGCAAGCCCTTTGGCACATCGCAGTCGCGGTATCTGGTCAAATTCGAAGATAGCGCACCGCTTGAGATTCCCACTGGCGCGGTAAAACGACTTGAGCTGCGTATTGGTGATGGTGTCAAGGTGGACATGCGCGATGTTCCCAAGGTGACACATATCATCTCTGGGTTCGCCGACAAGCTCACTTTGAGTGATATCGAACAGGGAGCTGCGAACGGCCTGATTCCTATGACTGATGTATATGGATATTCCTCCGTTATCTTGACACCGAAGCAGCGCAAAAGTCTACCCGGCTCAGGACTCGCAGTTACAGAGAACAGGATTACTGTTCCTATTTCCCGAATCTACCTAGATACTATCCTTTGGAATCAATTGAAAGACCGGGCATTCAGCTACGACTCCGGGCCTGCTGTTTCCGAAAGTGGACCTAAAACGCCAGGTGACAGACACTCCACGCCCATGTCCCCTGGCGCTCGACTCTCGCGCAGCTTCCGCTTTTCCACTGGTCTATTTGCCGGTATGGTATTTGCGGTGTCATACGGAGACAACAACGAGGCCAAATCACGAATTACCAGGATGATTCTGGAGAACGACGGCCGGATTCTAGAGGACGGGTTTAATGAGTTGTTCGAACTCCCTCCGAGTGCACCAGTTGCTACACCTACCAAGTCTCCTGCTCCACTCCCTAGTACCCAAGACGGCCATCTGCGGCTGACTAGTGGTGCCGCAGACGTGGGCTTTGCATGTCTGATAGCTGACAAACATTCTCGTCGGTCAAAGTACATGCAAGCCCTAGCACTCAATCTCCCTTGCCTCTCTGACCGCTGGATCGAGGACTGCGTTGCGCGAAGACAAATCCTCGATTGGGAAATATACCTCCTCCCAGCTGGAGAGTCTACCTACCTCAACGGTGCAACCAAGTCCAGATTCCTAGCCCCGTACCCTGCTACAGAGGCTCGACTGTCTGAGACCATCGCTGGCCGGCCCAATCTCCTCAATGGACAATCCGTGCTTCTTGTTACGGGACGCAGTGGGCGAGCAGACGAGGAGAAACGCAAGGCGTATCTCTTCTTGACCTATGCGTTGGGTGCTTCTCGCATCGAGCGCGTGCCTGATCTCAAGTCTGCGCGCGCGATCCTGAGTGCAACGCAAACGGATGAAGTCGATGGCACTAGCTGGAACTGGATCTATGTCGATGACGATGACCGAGCTTCCTCCGCCAAGGCCTTGGCACTGGGAAGTTCATTGTCAACTGCCGGTTCGAGGAAGCGTAAGCGGTCGAAGCTGATGGAATCTTTTGACGGCAATGAGCTGGGAATGAATAGTAATGTCAAGATTGTCGGCAATGAGTTTGTCTGTCAAAGCTTGATCTTGGGGAGGTTGTTTGACCAGTAATGAATGGATCTAGTGGGGTTAATATTTTCGACGATCATCTACGACGAATGTATGGGGTCTGGAGTATCTGCTTGTTCTTCTTATGTTTGCTGCTTTGATCAATAAGTGTGTTCGCGAGACTGATACTGATAGCAATATACCCTGGAGTCTGCTACTCTGTTAAAGCATCAGTTCGTTCTTCTTTCTTAATAAAGAGAAAAGAAATAGTAATTGCAGCCCATTCAAACGTCTTATAATACATACATACATATAGGTAGACAGACACAAAAAGAAACCCTAGAACCAGAACTAATATATCACACACACGCAGTCAACCCTTCACCGACATGATCCCCCCATCAAATCATCTATTTTCCACCCTTCTTCTTCTTCTTGTTCTTCAGACTCTTCATCTGTGCCAACCGATCAGCCTTAGCAGTCCTCTTCCTCCACGCCAACCAGCGGTTCTTGCGGTTATACGGCTTAGCCGTAATGCCAGCCTTCTCCGCAGCACGACCAATACTCCAGTTGGCCTCACGGTACATATAACCAGGACGCAACTGAACGGCAGCCTGAGCAGCCTCAACCTTCGTAGCACTGCCAACCTGTGTCCCGTCCTCTCCAATCTTAGCCACCAAATCGCCCTGCTTGGCAGCCACCTCCTCCTCAGGCTCAAAACGAACTGCCACACGGTTCAACTTCCTCCTAGTCGGCGCATTCTTCGGCGTCGGCAACTTCCCATCCTTCTCAAACACAACTCCAATGTACTTCCGATCCGGATGACGCTCGGGATCCAGGTAGTACCGCACATACCCGGCCTCAGCAGCGTAGATGGTATGGTCACGGCCCATGGCGCAGTTCTCACCAGGGAACCATTTGGTGCCTCGTTGCCGGAAGATGATGCATCCGGGAACGACGTATTCACCGGCTGTGCGTTTCGCGCCGAGACGCTTGCCCGCCGGGTCGCGGGAGTGACGGTTCGCGGTTCCTTGGGAGGCGTGGGAGGCGTGTCGGACTTGGAGAAATTGGTGTAATGTTGGAGATGCTAGCGGGGTGAGCTTGGATTGTGTTAATATGCCGCTGTTGCTGGTTGCGGAGAGGATGGAGGAGGTGTTGCGGAGGAGCGAGGAGGTGCTGTTGTTGTTGCGGATGGCGGCCGTGGGGGCTCTGGTAAGTCCCCTTTCTAGAGCCCGGAGGGGCGCTAGAAGACGAGGTTGGAACATTGTGTGGATTGAGAGGTGGGTGATGTTCAATGGGGATTGAACTGGGGAGAGATGGCTCGCTCTATTTCCCGGAGCCTGCTTTTTTTCGCGGATCGGAGATGGGACTTGGCGGGTGAAGTCACGTGCCGGATGCGGCCAGATGGCCGGTAACTTATCTATCTACAACTATATACTTAGTTCCTTTGCTTGCTTTGATCTGCAATTTAGTTTGCTTCGCCTTTTTTTGGTTTTGGACATACTGCTCGGTTGTTTGTCGAGTCTCCCTCAGTTCGCTATGTTCTCTTGGATTCGGCTCCTCGGAGCCCTTCTTCTACTTGCCTCTGTGGCTCATGCGCAGTTCCAGTTCTTTGAGCATATGTTTGGAGGCGGCGGTGGCGGCGGTGGTGGTCACCAGGGTCGTCAGCAGGCGGCGCAGAATGTTCCGAGTGATAGCTCGCGGTATCAGAGTCAGTGGGATTCAGGTAAGTGCTGTATTCTTCTATTGGGGTATGCGTGTGAAGCTAACTAGCATAGCCCATTGCGATAAATACCTCTGTCCTGGTACCCTCGCATGCGTCCATTTTCCGCACCATTGCCCGTGTCCGCACCCCGACGTCGAAGAGAAGGTTGAACTTGGTGAAGGAAGTGCCGTTTGTGTGTCGAAGGGAGGATACAAGGCCGGTGAGGCGGCGCGGAAGATTGAGTTGGCGCGCAAGGGTCTTTTGTGATTGAGTTGTCGCAGAAGGTGGTGTATTGCTTTCAGCTGGATTGGGAATACATCAGTGTTGGTGTTGGTGTATATCAGCTCTGGATATATCTTGGGGAGCCTGCTGTTCTGGTGCTATTTCTGAGGCCTGCGCGTTGTTCTGCGTCGTGGTTGAGTGGTTCTTGCAGCATTATTGCCTTATTAGTGTCAAAGCGCCCTTGGATATTGCACAGCCAGCTGCTTTTGTGCTATGAATAGCCAGCAGCTTGATTCCCGGGACATCGCCTTACGCTCTGGTTTTTGATCAGAGGCACCAGACCGTACTTGATTCATATATCCTGGGCATCTGCGCTTACTTCTCTGCGTGGTTACAGCAAATAATATACATTCCAATGTCAACTTCATCAGTACTGACTGTCCAAAGCAGCTGAATCGCATTCAGCGCTCCGGCTGTAGAGTAGATTAGTTCATGTAGGCAGAACTTGGAAAGACGGATTTAGATGCATAGAATGACATGGAAGCTCCTTTCGTTAACTACGCTATTTTATCTGCTGGCTGTGGAAATGATACTACCTAGTACTACTAATAGTATAATCAGCAACAAAAAGGTGTCTCAAAAGCAGTTGTTAAAAACTATATATATTTAGTATCGAGATGCGCTATTTCCCACGGTTTCATGTGACTGAGACGTTCAATCATCTGGGATAGCTTCAAGTTCCTTATACGCCACATGGAAGCATTTTCCACACGGATAGAAAGTACTGGAGAATTTCTGAGTTATTTCGCAATCAGTTCGCGGGGTGGATGAAGGCAAAACGAGGGCGGATGGATGATCAGCGTCTTATCGCCGTTAACTCCGCTCCCGCAACTTCGTCATCGCGGGAGTCTTCCACTCTTTCTCTTCCATCTCCAGCTAACTCAACTATAGTTCTCGGTGCTACAGTTACCTCAAGTATCTTCGTCTAATTTTGCATCATACATTAATACTGACTGGCATCAATCACTGGAATGTGGAGTGCGCTCCGAACACCACCGGCGCAGTGCCTTCGAGCTCCCGGTCGAGCTCTCGCCAGCTCACTTCGCGGCCGATCCAACCCCCGAGGCCCCCGAAACTCCATACGCAGGCCAGAGCCCATCAGAAGAGACGTCCCAGCATCGCGAGCACCTGAACCCAGCAATCCAGAGACAACCTCCGAAACCCCCGAAAGCCCCGCCTCACAATATGACCCCTCTCAAAACACCCTCCTCGCTCCAGTCCACATCCCCGAAGACCCTCATGGCGTGATAAAAGAGACGCACCCGGCGACGGGAATCCTCGCCAACTCAGGTCTGGTGGTCCAGCGACAGTTGGAGCTCATGAATGTGATGATTGGTTTTGAACAAGCCAACAAGTACGTCATCATGGATGCCAACGGCAATCATATTGGCTATATGGCGGAGCAGGAGAAAGGCATGGTGAACATGATGGCGCGACAATCGTTCCGGACGCATCGCAGTTTCGTGACTCATGTGTTTGACAGGCATGAGAATGAAGTGCTTCGGGTAGGTGTTGATCTGCCGATTGCATGTGGATGATGCTGACTGCGCAGTTCCACCGTCCGTTCTCATGGATCAACTCCCGAATCCGCGTATATGATCCTCTCGACCTAGCAAAGGGTACCTATTCAACGTCCACCACACTACAGACAACCTCTGCCGGATCTCTGGTTCACCCCACAGGGGACTCGAATGCTCGGGTTTCATCCTTGGGCTTGGATGAAATGCGGGTTATCGGAGAGGCCCAGCAGCAATGGGCCCCACTACGACGCAAATACAACCTCTTCACATATCACCACTCGCCCAATCCAGCGACAGAGATGGAAACACAGAAGCTACCACTCAATCAGATGGATATGTCCAACGCGCAGCAAATGCAGTTGATCAAATCATCTCAGAGTGGCCAGGAAACGGGCGAATATCACCAATTTGCCTATGTGGACGAGCCATTCTTGTCGTGGGATTTTGGCCTACGTTCTTCTGACAAACAGCTGATCGGCTCCGTGAATCGCGACTTTGCCGGCTTTGCCCGGGAAATCTTTACGGATACGGGTGTCTATGCACTCAGAATGGACTCTGCTTCCCCCAGCGAAGAGTTCCTCGACAAGAACAGCGCGGCTACTGGGATGACGTTCGACCAGCGTGCCGTGATGCTGGCAACCGCTGTGAGCATTGACTTTGACTACTTTAGTCGCCATAGCAACTCGGGCGGGTTTGGTTTCATGCCACTCTGGATCCCCGGGTTTGGAGGTGAGGCAGCTGCTGGGGGTGCTGCCGCCGGGGGCGCAGCAGCCGGTGAAGCAGGTGCCGTGGGGGAAGCGGCCGCGGGAACCCTTGGTCGGGCCGGGGCAGCCGGTGGAATGGCTGATGGTGCAGCAGCTGGAGCAGCAGGCGCGGGCGCAATGGCTGGCTACGACGCCATGTCTCGTGGGATGGGGGGCAGCCAGCCTGCTCCCGATCAGCAAGCAGCTCCTGTAGACCAACAGCCACCGACGCCAGGTCAAACGGGTCCGTATGGAGATGTTTGGGGGGAGGAGCCCGAGAACCCGTGGGGAAAGGAGCCTGAGAACACATGGGGTCAGGAAGAGGACCCTTGGGCAGATGAAGGCGACGAGGGCGAGGGAGGCGATGATTTCGATTGGTTCTAAGCGGCTGATCGACCATACAACAGGCAGTTGGATCAAGATGCCGGCTGACACCGTGAGACGGTTCCCCTTACTCGTGCGAGGGTACTACAACAGAACTCATGGGTTCGGTGTATTGAGAATCACCATAACGGCTCTGACATGACCCATTGTATACTCGACATGATCGGGCCGAGTACGGAGTAGACGTTGATGTCATTTACTCTCGGCCCTGCTTGAAATGCATATAGGGTTTTGCAGCTTACTGACAATGATCCGCTCTATGTACCATAACGGCATGAAATCTCCAATAAAATGTATAATATAATGCGAAAAATGAACAATTCTATACAGAGTTACAGTCCACCAATACTCCATCCATCCAGACGAATGCGGCGATAAGCATCATTGCAGCCTCAGGCAGCCACATCCCACCGGCTCAACAATCAATCAATGGAACCTCAATCACTCCATCAATTCATTGGCTTTCAAAAGTGGCAAACCTTGATTTCTCCTCCAATTCAATTCCAGGCCACTCACTCACCTTCCCCAGTAGTAACCCAGCCTCTTAAAAAGTTTTTTTTTCTTAATCCTACTTATCTCCTCAACGCCACCCCAGGTACATAACCATCTCCCCCGGTGTCCTTTCACCCTCCCCCTCCGGTCCGATCTCCGCACTCTCCTCTCCCCTCTTTATCTAATCGCCAGACCGCCACGCCACCAGCACAAGAAACCCAACCAGCACCAGCTTTCTCCTCCCACGCCGGAGAAACTAAAACCAATTGATAAATCAAATAAGTCTTTTCAAAGAGAAAAGAAGAAAAAAGGCAGTGATCAAAATGTCCTCCGTCGCCCAGAAACGTCTCTTCCACGAATACAAAAACCTCTCCACCAACCCCCCGGAGGGCATCACCGCCGGCCCCGTCACCGAAGATGACATGTTCCACTGGGAAGCACTGATCCAGGGACCCGAAGGTACGCCCTTTGAGGGCGGCGTTTTCGCGGCCGAGTTGAAGTTTCCCAAAGATTATCCGCTTAGTCCGCCGACTATGAAGTTTGTGGGTGGTGGGGTTTGGCATCCTAATGGTATATGATCTTCCTTTCCCCTTTCGTTTACCCTTTGTCTTGTTTAATAATACCTGGGTTGTTGGGCATGTGCTAATGTGTTTGGATTGTATGTGTATAGTATACCCCAACGGAACCGTGTGCATCTCCATCCTCCATCCCCCCGGTGACGACCCCAACCATTACGAACATGCTTCGGAGCGGTGGTCGCCTATTCAGAGCGTGGAGAAGATTCTCATCTCCGTTATGAGTATGTTGGCGGAGCCGAATGATGAGTCTCCGGCGAATGTGGAGGCCGCGAAGATGTGGAGGGAGCGGAGGGGGGAGTATGAAAGGAAGGTGAGGGATGAGGTTAGGAAGGGATTGGGGTTGTGAAGAAACCCCCCTTCTTGGGTTAATGTGTGTTGAGTGGTGATGGGTAGGGTACGGGGTTTCGCTCGTAAATAAGTCACTGGTTGGTGGGCTGGTTGCTCGCTGTCTTGTCTATACTCTGTGTCGTGGAGGAAATTGTGGCATAGCTTGGAAGCTGGATGATTGGATGGATGGACGGATGCATTGGTTGCTTGGGTTGGCGTTGTGGTATGTTCACTTTCTTTTATCCTTTTATTCTTATATTTCTTTGCTGGGGTAGATGCATGGTCGGGAATGCATAGATGCTTTGTTTAGTATATATCGTCTTTTCGTTTTTATAATGGCATAAGTCATGGATACATTATACCTACCTACTACTCTGTACGAGATGGACCAGTTTCCGATTCAGCCATCCTGTCAGACCGCCCTCCGTATCATATAGAGTCTCCGTCTCTGCCTTGACATTCAGCATGAGCATCCGCTGCAGCTCGACTCGCCATTCCGGCTCCGGGCCATCAGCCGCCCAGATAGGGTTTCTAGACAGCATAGCGATGACCTTCTTCCTATCTCTCTTTGTGAGACGGATTAGCGTGTTATCGCCTAGCAGACCAGCTCCTACAACCACATCTACTATCTTTAGTCCCAGCCAGTGTAGGCCGGGGACATTCAAGTTCCGGTTTTCATGTGCAAAAGCCACAGAGCCATACTTGTATGTGGCCATGATGGCCATTCCGTCAGGGTCTCCGTCAACTAAGGCGTAGAACTGCGGTTGTTTGGTGAGTTGGCGGCTGTGGTCGAAAAGCTTTCGGACAAATGCTCGAGTGTTGAGGTCAGGATATCCTTTCCCCTGTAATTGTTGGTATGTCTCCTGGAATATGTTTGGGGAATGGAACGTACGGTGACGAGGATGCCCTTTCCTGCTGCGGATGTGAGGTGGTAGTTGCTGCTCGCGAGTCGGCGGTATATGGCCTGAGAGTGTCAGTTCATTCCACTTTGACATGTCAGGGTTTGACTGCAGCAAGGACCTCCTTTTCTAGAACCAATACCCACACGACATCTGCAAGATCAATCTTGTGAATGTCTTGCGTTCTGGGTACTAGAGAATCCTGGAAAGGTCATCTCATGCCGTGTACAGTAATGATGACTGCAACAGACCTGGTTTGATAATCGCGCATCCACCACTGCGTCGCTTCTAGTGATTATTTGATAGTATCCCACGACGAGTCCTTTCGCTGCTGCTTCCTGTGATTGGCGTACTTAGTATCCTGGAAGTGGGCACTGTCGAGGCCTACAAACCACATATAAGGCAGCCCGATCCACCCCCATTGTGTGTGCCAAGTCATCAACGAGTGTATCGACGGTTCTCTGGATGCCAAAACAGACAGGATCGCTGTAGTATATGTCTCTACGACGAAGTTAGTAGATGATTTGTGGTAAAGTATACTGATTATGTGTGCTGCTCACCTCTTAGAAACCATCAATCCCGCTTGAACTGCCTCTGCAATGGCTGCGAGGACTCGTAAAGCGACGGCTATGTCTTCATTAGAGGAGTCTGTGGAACGGTGACCATAGATAGTACTGAATCTCCAGGCTTCGTTCTCATCTCTGCCGGGCCATTTGTAGGTGGTGTATGTCTGCATCTCTGAGGTCTCCAGGGCTTGTGTCTGTGGGTTGATGAATAATGATGCGAAATTTTTGCCTCTGTGCTTGAGTGTAATGGATGGTTGGCCATTAGGGGAGGACAGTTCATCCAGGATTGCTGCTAGCGTCTCCTGAATGTAGCTTTGGACTGGTGTTTGAGGAATTGTAATGATGTTTGTTGGTAGTTCGAACGCCTCTGCTTCCAATCCATCTATGTGTGATACTTCCATTGTTTCTGGGATCAAGATGAATTTAGAGAGAATGACCTGTAAAAGTAGGAAGGGGATGATCCGGATAGGAGGGAAGAAAATAGTCTGGATGGGTGACGAGCGTGAGAGTAACCAATCTGACATAGACGTATCTCATAATACTACAACAAATAGAAGGAATTTATTCTGTATAACGTAAGTGGTCAAGCGATTCATCGGAAGCATCAAAGTTACATAGTGATCTTAACTGATCAGTTTTCGAAGTATGGCGAGCCGGTGGCCTGTGAATTCAGGCACAGAGATAGCCAGACTTCTTCTGGGATGTTTTCTCATGTTTTCACACCCTCTCAAGATCTATCGCTTCTAGACAACCAGGAAGAATGGCTAGTCCGTGAAAAGTGTCATTCTTTTTGATTCTATGAAATCACAAGGCTCCAAAATAAGTTTAAATAAGCATCAGCAATTCGAATACTTGTAAAGAGCACTGCATGCCAGCCTGCCAGCCTGCCTATTGCCATGGGAGGTAAGTCATGCAATCTGAATTCTGAATAAAACACAATCTGAGACATTTTCACCACAGCCAAGACATCCTCATGTCAGTCGCACTTCAATCGTCCTATCCTTCTGTATCTCCGCATTCGATTTCCAATACCGCTCTGCTCGGAAACTACACCACCATTAGATATCTTAGCGAAGTTGAGAGAAGATCTTACCTCCAGTGAATATTAGCCAGAACAACATTCTGGAGCCCCTCAATATACGTCTGAACCTGGGCGTCGACATCTTCGCCCCAACTGGGTAAATCGGCTAGTGCCAAATACCAGTCACGGTAGCAGGTAGCCAGTAACTTTCCAGCTTCGTCAAAAGCAGCCTGAACTGAGAAACCGTCCCGGAGATATATCTTGATCAAATTGCTATTCTCATCAAGGAGCTGATGACGGAGGGTTAGGAACTCTGCGCCTTCCGCTGGCGGGCCATACATATGCACATACCTGCTCCTTCCGATAGGAAACGATGTCATTTTGGCTGTCGAGTTAGTAACTGCTTTCTACAACGGACAAGGTTCTTACATGACCGTCACTTCAGTGCTAACTCTTTCCAACTCTTTGATTGATGAACATTCTAAGACTTCATCTGGTATGTTCAATCCATAGGCATATCTTGACAGTCAGCACGTGTGACCCTGATTAAGTAGGAAAATAACCTACTCAAACAGCGCAAATAGGGGCGTTGTTGCAATACTCCCACGTCTCATTGCAATAAACTCGTCGACTGACAGTGTTTCGCTGCCCTGGGATTTAGACTGCATGATTACTTGCTGAATACAGGCTTCGGAGTAGTCTTGCATTGATCTAGCAAACCGTCGAAGGGTTCCTGGAATCGGATTAATGATCAGTCATGTATCTAGGTAAATATTAGGTTGACGATGCGATTACCAGCAGAGCAGTTCGACTGGATCATTAGCGAGGGTTACCGTCTTAAGGGTGAGGCACTCACTTCAGACAGTCTGTCCCAGATGGACTTGAAAGCAACGACAAGAGGGTCCGTTGGTCCTGAGTTTGTCTCATTATTCATGACAGCCAAAAGCTCGTCCATCATTTTTCGCACGCCATCCAGATCCACTTTCAACTCTCCATTATCGAAAGCTGTTCATATCGATATATGAGCACCAGTAAACGCGAATGCCGTAAAGTTAAGGTAACACTACCATCATCAAAAGGAAAGACCTTGAGCAAGATTAGCAAAAGCAGATGGTAGAAAGCAAGATATACATACCCAGTTCCCCCAGTCGAACATTGTTCGCAACTCATCTTCCTCTGCATCAGGAGCCACGATAGCCACAAAATATCCGAAGTCGGTTTTGTGAACGAATCTTGCCATATTTGTCTCAAACTTGCAGGTCCTTGAAAGTTTTAGCTAATGATGCTAGGATGAGAACTATGGACAACTATACTTGATGAGCCACTGCTCTGACTCTTCTCTGACGGCTTGATAATGTTTGTTCATTGGAGCCTTTCGCGCAGCGAAGTTGACAAATAGCGGAGGTAATTTCACCTCGACGACATTGCCAGCGTCCCATCCCATCTTCACAGCTTTGATAAGTGAGTAAAGGGATAGAAATGAAAATGATAGATCAGAGTGGACAAGAAAGGTTTGGCCTAACACTCTTAGGGTGAGCTTTCTTGATATCCAAGTCTATCGTGGCCCCTATGTGAATCAGATACTAAATGTGGATGGATGCCTGTCCAAATAGCTACCATGACGCCTCCTTAGCATTACCCCAGGGGGTGTAGCGTCACCGCTAACTGTATCATTTGACCTCTTTCTCACCCTCACTGCTGGGTAGTACGGTTGATAACCACTTTCCCAATGCTGTGATTACCAGCAGGGAAACAGAATCAGTCGCAGTTTGCTTGTGATTCTTTGCAAGGATCTACAGGGTATCGACGTGTTTACTGATCTCAAACAGGAATGCTGTATATCTGCCCTGCTGCTATGGAGCTCGTGATACACATCCTACAAGACCGGCAGTACTACTTCCCAATGACAATCGAGTTGAAATGAGAATATTTACCAGTTAAATGACTGGGCAGGTCCAGCCGCATCGCCGTAAGTTCCACAGGTGCAAACCTACGTCCTGTTGAAAATGTACGAGTCTTATTCGAGTAACAAAAACTGCAGTCTAAAAGACTCCTTTCAAAATAATGTGGGGACTCGGTAGAGGTCTCGGAAGACGATTACATCAAATTCTGGTGGAGGTCTCTCTGAGTATTTACTCAAGGGCTATCAGGTCCAGTCAGTCTCACTGCAGACCAGCCAAGCCGATTATTCTACCAATAGCACTGCGTAGACCTTTCGCTGTGGCTATCTTACAGTACAATTGCTGCTTCGATTTCCAAGAATGGGCTATACACTCAATCTTCCCATAATACGCTGAGTGAAATCAGGACTAGGTGGGCTGCCAGCCCGCTTCGTCATTTGAGTTAATGCAGCAATACGGATCAGTCTTCTGCATGCTCGCCGTTCCCAAGAAGAACGGACGCGTGATAATGCATGCATTTCATGCACCGAGCTGCATTGAGAGAAATTTATACAAATTACCCAATGACTCTTTGCTGGCTTTAAGAAGGCATCAGATTGACATAAATGATATCTTCAACAAGAGGGCTCTTTTCTAGCATTCCCCGAATTCGTGTTACCGCAAAAGCCCACTTCGTAACCCATAGCAATTGGCTATTGATTGACCCGACAATGGCTATCCACCCCGATCTACATGGAAAACCTGCTATGGTGACAGGAGGTGGGAGGGGCATGGGCAAAGCCATTTCATCTGCACTCGCTAGATCTGGCGTAAAAGTCGCTCTTGCCGAAGTTGACGAGGCCATCGGTAGGCAAGTCGAGAAGGAACTCGTTAGCCAGGGTTATGAAGCACGCTTCATCGAGACGGATGTCACCAGCTCTAGTAGCATCAGAAACGCATTTGAGGAAACAATCACAATATTCGGCAACCTTGAAATTGCGGTGATAAACGCAGGCGTGAACGGTAATTCCATGTCGACTTGAGAGCTGGTTGAGGCCGAATGGGGTAGAGTAATAGACACCGACCTCTCCAGTGTCGCCTACTGCCTGAAGTGGGAACTGCAACAGATGATCACGCAAGGTCGCGGCGGCTCCATTATAAACATCTCCTCCAGTGGTGCTCTGAAGACGAGGCCTAATATGCCTGCATACTGTGCTTCCAAGCACGGTGTGGCCGCTTTGACCACCACTGCAGCGAAAGAAAACGGCCACAACCAGATTAGCGTGAATGCTGTCGCCCCCGGCATGACCAAAACTGAAATGCTTACCGACGCCCTGACGAAGATCGGTGCCAGTGAGGACGCACTTGCAAAGCAAAGCTCCCTATTGGGACGCTGTGCACGGCCGGAGGAGGTTGCGGAAAGTGTATTGTGGCTCGCATCCGATAAGACTTCATATGTCACGGGTGTCGTTATTCCTGTTGATGCAGGGTACTCCTTGATGTAAGGAATCTTGATGCTACCGGATATGGATGGGTTTGCTTGTTGCTTGAACAAGATTCTGTCTCTTTGGTATTTTGTGTGAGCTTCCAAAGCCTACAGACTTCCAGATAAGAACCTACCGATTGACGCTGAAGATCACAAAGTCGATACATCCCTTACATATGTGGCCCCATAGCTCGTGTTTCCCATGCGCCTAGATAGTGACCCGGCTGTTGGAATATCAATTCCTGGAAGCCATTACAGTAAAATCGAAATTTCACTCCAAAAAGTTGTTTCAATTTCAGAATATCACGAGTGGATGCAGTACTAAACTCTGATCTATTAGAATCCATTAGGAAAAGTAGCTTAATAAAGTTAGTATTGTCATATAGAAACAAGCGGATATCAATGGCTTACAAACGCCTGAATCCGGTACATGAAATTGAATTACACTCTGCAACCCTACTGGTGTTTGACGGCATGCTATGGAATGTAAGGGGCAATGCGCTCTTCCAGAGCAATCTAGAACGGTGCTCGTGCATTATGACTGTAGTACACAACGGTGTGAGTATCCCTAAAGAAAGAAAGAAAGACAACATCTGGGTTTGTATCCCGTGTGACTGCGGGAACCTCCTAGGAGAGGACCCTTTTCGAGGCAGCTTAAGATACCTCATTTAGTCTCTCAAAACTATGATTCAGAGACTACACTGCTTTATACCCGCTTGCGCATTCAGCCATGGCTGCTCTGAATATGCTAGTTGAACAAGTCCTGCCTGTTAATGTTGGCTTGATAGTACTCATTAGTATCTTGATCTATGCTTGCAGCGTTATTACTATTCGCCTTTACTTCCATCCCCTCAGCAAGTTCCCCGGACCTCGAATTGCCGCTGCCACCAGTTGGTACGAATTCTATAAAGATGTCATCCTGAGTGGACAGTACTCCAAATCATTTCCATCGCTACATGCAAGATATGGTCTGGCACTGCTGATGAAGTGACCATCAAACTCTTTATGCTCACTACTACACAGGCTCTGTCGTCCGAATTCATCCCAATGAACTTCACGTCAACAACAGGGACTTTTTTCATAGGTACACAAGGAAGTACTAGGTTAGGTGAGACTGTGCTGACAAGACCCAGAGTATTCAGAAACGGAACGGACTTTTACAAGGATCCTGCCTTCTTTGGCAGTATTGCGTTCAATGACTCCATTGCCTTTCTCACCGATCCTCACGAATACAAGCTCCGTTATGACATTGTGAAAACCTCCTTTGCAAAAGGACATGTCGATCTTCTGGCCCCCGAGCTGGAAATGATCGTGACCAAAGCTATTAATCAAGCAAAGATCGCAGCGGAGACGCAGTGCCCGCTAAATATCCAACAGCTCTACCATTGTGTCACGGTTAGTTCTTCATACTCCTTGACCTGCTAGAGAATCTGAAGGTCAGGTAACAGTATCCTCCATAGGCCGATGCCATAATGGTATTACTGTATGGAAGATCTTTAGACCTGGTTATGTCGGGAAAAGCGTATCCGCCATTACTTTCCAGCCTAGCTATGTTTGGGGATCGATTTCATCTGTTCAGAAGCTTTCCTATCCTCGCCCGGATTGCCCTTAAACTCCCTCCCAGACTGACGGACATGATCGCCCCGGGCTACATGGACTTTAGACAGGTGAGTAAGCACCAATCAATGCCATTGCTAAAGAAAAGCTTAGCTCACTAATAACTCATGATTTAACAGCGGTGTTTGGAGTGGATGAGAGATATCTCTGGAAATCTTGCGCCAAGCGACCAGAAAGAAGGCAATGCCCGAATGACGGTTTTCAGTTCGCTTCTTCAAGCAGAGAAAGACTCTCCATCACGGTCTATGGATGGGCTTGTTAATGAAGCATACTTCTTTTGCTTTGCTGGGACGGAATCTACAAGCTACGCGCTATCTTGTGCTACTTATTACCTGCTAACGCACCCAAATTGTGCAAAGAAGCTGAGAGAAGAGCTCGAGTGCCAGCCTGTGAACGCAGATGGGATTATCGAATACCAATATTTACGCAACCTACCTTATCTGGTAAATAACAGCGTTTGCTGCTTATCACCTGGGTTCTTCGCTAATAATCCATGTACAGACTGCCGTGATCAAAGAGTCACTTAGGCTGTCCTCTCCAGCTCCAACCAGACTTCCGCGTATTGTTCCCAAAGGTGGAATTGAAGTTGATGGCCAGTTAATACCACCAGGAGTAAGTCAAGGCATTACACTATGAGCCAAAACCGATCAAGCTAATATTCTCGCTTGTGGCCAGACAGCAGTCTCAATGTCGGCAAGGATGATCCACTTTGATCCAGACATCTTCCCCAAGCCCGACGAATTTAATCCTGAGAGATGGATTGGCGAAAGCGGCAAAACACTGGATAAATGGAATGTTACATTTTCCAAGGGAACACGCTCATGCATTGGCATCAAGTAAGTTATAACATCAGCCATGGAATATAGTAACTGACCGCCGTATGTTAAGCCTTGCTTACCTTGAGTTGTATATTTGCCTTGCAAATATTTTTAACAAGACTCAGATTGAACTGTACCAGACAGACGAGATAGCTATGGAATGGAGTGACCACGGAGCGGCAAGAACTGCGAAAGATGTCCATGTGTTGGTGAAGGGGGTCAAAGACTAGACAGTCGAGCAAATACCGGTCATCAAATTGTCACCATTCGCGTACTTCGTTCTTGATACTGGAAGTAAGAATACTGCTAAAGACCTCACATTACATCAGGAACTGAAAGACTTGGTCCGTTTCCCGACTTTGCATTGCGTCCTCCTGTGGTAGGATAGGGCACTGTATACCTAGCAAAGTAGTGGTATAAACGGTTCAGTAACACATTCTGTTTCGTCACGCTTATAGTTGACTCAAATTATCTAAATTTAGTATCTTTTCACCCAAGATGGAATTGATATGTTAGTACACATGATATTTTAGTTTTCCATTTGCAAGTTGTCCACGTACATAAGTGGAAGATGCACGTGTGGATGCCCAGCGGCAGGTTTTCTCCGCCTTCTGCCTCCGAAGCTCTCTCCGTTCCCGCGTCGCATTTATCTGCTGCCACTCATTTCAACATTGTTGCTCTGGGCCTTCCAGAATGATTTTGGCCCTTCCCGGATAATTAATTAATCTGATGATCACCTACTCACCTCACATTGCACGAAATAACCGGACCCCTCGTTGACGAGCCGACGACGTTACACCCTCCTACCCACCCTCCAACCTCCAGCCTCCGTTCTTTTACCTTCACTCTAACACCGCACCCACCATGTCCGTTTGGAACCCCGATAATATTCGCGATGTCGCCGAGTCGGTCGGTGTCGTGAACCTCAGCAATGATGTCACCGAGAACCTTGCCCGCGACGTCGAGTACCGCATCGCGCAGGTCCTGGAAGAAGCCCTCAAATTCATGCGTCACAGTCGACGCACACTACTCACAACACAAGATGTCGCGCAGGCCCTGCGCGTACTGGACGTGGAGCCACTGTACGGATACGAGTCTACAAGGCCCTTGCGGTTCGGAGAAGCATCACTGGGGCCTGGTCAGCCGCTGTTCTACGTGGAGGACGAGGAAGTGGACTTTGAGAAGTTGATAAATGCGCCGTTGCCCAGGGTTCCTCGGGAGGTCTCTTTCACAGGTATGTTTTTTTTTTTTTTTGTTCCTGCTGCTGTGTGGAAATATCTACAATGAAATGTTGGCATGCTGACTCCCTTAAGCCCATTGGTTGGCGGTTGAAGGTGTACAACCGTCCATACCCCAGAATCCCACGGCGGCCGACTCGAGAAACATGGAACTGATGTCCAAGGGACCCAACGCAAGCTCTACATTGGCGGCCATGAGTGGAGGAGGAAATGTCTCCGTCAAGCCCTTGGTGAAGCATGTGCTTTCCAAGGAACTCCAGCTATACTTCGAGAAGGTCTGCAACGCCTTCCTGGACGAGTCCAGTGAGGAGTACAGGACGTCGGGTTATGCCAGTCTCCGTGAAGACCCTGGATTACACCAGCTGGTGCCATATTTCGTGCAGTTCATTTCGGAGAAGGTGACGCATGGGCTGAAGGATGTCTTCGTCCTGACGCAGGTGATGCACATGGCCGAGGCTCTGGTACAGAACAAGTCTCTCTACGTGGACCCTTATGTGAGTCATGATTGTCACATGAACAACACCGATTACATTTTACTGACTCCTGATAGATTGCTTCACTTGTTCCACCAATTCTGACGTGCCTGATCGGCCGACAACTCGGTGGCAGTGCTGAATTGACGGAACAATTTGCCCTGCGCGACCTTGCGGCATCGCTTCTGGGCCTTATCGCCAAGAAATATTCCAATTCGTCGCATACACTGAAGCCACGCTTGGCTCGGTCGTGCCTGAAGACATTCCTGGACCCGTCCAAGCCGTTTGGGGCGCACTATGGCGCGGTGATCGGACTACATGCGGTTGGCGGTGCGGAGGCGGTGCGGGTGCTGATCATGCCTAATCTGCCGACGTACGGCAACCTGCTCAAGGATGGGATGGCGGAGGAGAGTCCACGCCGGCCGGAGGCAGAGCGGGTGCTTAGCGTGCTGCTGGGGGTGCTGAACACGCTACGGGAGGGCCGGATGGCACTGGCCAACGGTCATGGCGCGATGGTGACGGATGGCCTTCGAGATCGGCTGAGTCAGAAAGTGGGCGAGTTCCTGGCCGCAAAGATTAGTGACGCGGGGGAAGTTGATCTGGCTCATGCCATTGTGGAGTCGTCATCCTAATTCTCCATGTCTCTCTCACGACAACAGAAAGTATGGTTTGTATCTACTTTGGATGTACATCTTAGGGGGTGGGGGAAGAGGCATGCGTGATTTTCTCTTTCCATTCTTGTTAGTTAATTCTTTGTTGCTGGGCATGGGCAGAATCGGCGTTTGGGCAAAAGGGTGTTTAGAAGGAGGGAATCGGGGCTATTATTGAATGCTAGCTAGCGAATTGTACCTCTGCATGATATACTGATTGCAACCAAGTATACTATGTTCACTATGTTCATAGTGCTGGAGTGTGTAGGAGTGGAGGAAGTTGTGTGACCGGTTTCCTCGAAGGGAGGGAGGAGAGACACGACGTCACCCTCTTTCTCATGTTGGTGGGTGACCCTTGTACCACCGCCTGCCTGGTTGGGCACGAAATGTCGGGTTTTTTCCGTATTATTTCGTCTGAATCTGGTTTGGCTGGGCAAATGCGACCGGCTCATTCCTTATTCATTCATGGCCTTCTTCTCATCATCATCTACTTACTATTCATCCATTGCGCCCTCCTGCCTCTCCAGGGATCGTGTGTGGTTGGACTAAATTTTATAATTGCCCAGGTGAGTTATATGTTCCTGCATCTTCCCCTCATCCTATTGATTGGCGGTTTCCCGATTCTGAACCGTTTTCCCGCCATTCTCTCAGATTCTGCGCTTGATTTCCCAGCTGGCGCCCAACCCAGATTGGCATCTTGTCTTTTTGCCCGCCCCACGAACTTTTTTCGGGCCCACAGATCACGGACAGCAATAATAATCGCTCAACCATCGCCCGTCAATAACTACTTCTTTCTTTTCCCTCCCCCCCACGTCCGCGTGCCTTTTTCCCAAATCTTATTTATTTCCCTTCTTCTCTCACTTGTTTGGTGAAGAGGAATCAATTGCTTTGGTTGTCTTTGACTCATTGACTGATCAAAGAGCCAAATCGCTTTGCTGCTTCTCTCTGCACACTTGCCCTACCCGTTATCGTTGCCGTCGGAAGTCGCCTCGCAGATGTTCAGTGCTGTGGCTTTTCGCGACATCGTGCTGTTTTAAGCCCGTCTTCTGTCCTGCCTTCCATGAACCCGAAGGATCTACTACGGTACCTGTCTAAGCCTGCCAAGTAGGTTGTCTCCGTCTTCTGAATTTCTTTCCACTTGGTCTCCGGTGGGTCAAAAGTTTCTGTCATGGCTAACAGATCGCGAGTAGGCCCCGATAACACGCCTAAACCCCACCTTTTTTCTCCAGTCGCGCAAACCTCACTTTTTTCTCTCCCACACTTAAAAAAGCAGATACTCTCGTCTGCTAGACCCGATACTTTCGCCGGTATCGGTATCTTCCAGCACGAGGGTCACGACGATATAGTCACCATTCCCTTTTCCAGAGGCTTTTTCCTCCTTTCCCTTTCGTTCCGCCCTCCCTAGCAGCCCTTCAGGCTTCTACCGAATCTACCCCTCTTTGGCTGAGTGCCAATTACCAGAAAAAAGATTAAGGGCCTACTCTCTCAGACGGACATAGCCCCCCTGTTCGTCTGGGCAGCAGATAGTGCTTCCTAGGCTCTTTGTCTACGGTCCACAAATCCAGTCGCGCGCACCTGCTATATCGCTGCTCCATCCGCTCTACCGATTCATTTACCACATTTTCAAATCGGTCAAGATGGTCTACATTGGAATTCCCCAGCACTACACGGCGTCGCCGTCCTCTTTCATGGCGACCCCGTCCTTGACGATCAACCATGAGGCAACCCAGGATCTTGATTCCACCAACGCCTTCGAAGGTATGTCACTGTTATGGTAGAAGCGCATGCTGGCATTATACTGACGTGAGTGAAGGCCCCGAGAAGCTTCTGGAGGTTTGGTTTGCCCCGTCCGCTCAGGAACTGGGTTCCGCCGGTCCTGCCGGCCTGAAGGCTGTGCCCGAAGAGATCTGGAAGGACATGCTTGATCTCGTCAACTGCCAAGTGCTCTCCATTGTCTCGTCTGAGGATGTGGACGCTTATCTTCTGTCCGAGTCCAGCATGTTCGTCTGGCCCCACAAGCTGATTCTCAAGACCTGTGGTACCACGACCCTGCTGTCGGGTCTTCCGCGCATCCTCGAGATTGCCGCTCTGTTCGGTGGCTTCCCTCGCGCCACGGCGCCTTCCCGTGGTATCGCCGTCGCTGCGGCCCCGTACCGCGTGTTCTATAGCCGCAAGAACTTCCTCTTCCCTGATCGTCAGCGCGGCCCTCACCGCAGCTGGAGAGACGAGGTTCGCACCATGGACAAGCTTTTTCTCAACGGCAGCGCCTACATGATTGGCAAGATGAACGGCGAGCACTGGTACCTCTACCTGACTGAGCCCAACACCTTGCTCACTCCCCCGACCAGCCCTCGTGTGGAGTCGGAGGATCCGGTGACCGAAACCAAGATGCTTCAAGTGCCCGCAGCTGGAGCGTACCAGACCCGCGAAGATCAGGATGAGACTTTGGAGGTGTTGATGACCGACCTGGATGAGGAGAACGCCAAGCAATTCTACCTCGACCACGCTACTGCTGTTGCCGAGAAGCGTTACTGCAACTTCGAGGCCGACAATGACGACCACGTTGATGTCTTCAGCAACAACTCCGATATGGATGACGTGTCGTCCAATGGCAGCCGCGTCTTGCCTCCTGAGCTGACTACCGAGGGTCACGCTCTGGGAACGGTCGTGTCGGAGTCTTGTGGTCTTTCGGACGTCTATCCTAAGTCCAAGTTCCCCGAGTCTCGGATCGACGCCTACCTGTTCACCCCGTGCGGATTCTCCGCCAACGGCGTCATCCCCACCCCGGACCAGAACACCGGAACGCACTACTTCACGGTGCATGTGACCCCGGAGCCTCACTGCTCTTATGCGTCGTTTGAGACCAATGTGCCGCACTCGCAGAACGGCCAGACTACGCAGGAGATCATCCAGCAGGTGGTGAACATCTTCAAGCCCGGACGCTTCACGGTGACCTTGTTCGAGGCGAAGCCTGAGACTACTACGGCCGACGGCGAGTTGGACCACATCAAGGAGGTCAAGTACATTGAGCGGCAGGCAGCTCGTCGCACCAAGATGGAAAATGTGGCAGGATATCGTCGGGTGGATCGGATCGTGCATGACTTGGACGGATATGACCTCGTGTTCCGCTACTACGAACGTCTTGACTGGAAAGGGGGGGCCCCTCGGCTCGGAGAAGAGCGCGTTTGAGAGCGAACACAGTGTCTATCCATGCATGGGAGATGAGATGGAAGTGGGAGAATGATATCGTTTACTTGACTGTTTCCAATTTCGGGTTTTGTCAGCTGTTGTTTTTCTGTCATCGAGCGATTGAGCTTTGTTCCTTTTGAGCAATGTTAGTATCCACCTTCGCTTACGCCTTGTGGCATTGTGGTTATTTTGAACGAATATTATCCGTCTTACGGACTGATCAGGCGCATTGATTGTATAACTGTAGAACTTCTGAGTAGTTGAGTGAGAACAAGTGAAGTAGAAATAAGCAGCGGGCGGGCGCAGGAGCGCGCCGGCGGAAAGTCGACCACTCGGCAGACTTGCCGGATGGGGGGCCGTAACACCGATAAGCCGCCTTTCGTTCTTTCATCCGCGCTTCATCGCATCATCTTCCCCAAGCTGTTTTCATATCCAGTCCACCACCTTCACCCTTTCTATCCTGAATGATCTAATAACCTAATCCTGAATTGCGCCTTACCGAAATCCCCAGACAGATCGAGATACAAGTTTTCATCCGCGCAGCGAGCAAGCCTTGTCGGCTCTCGACTACCAACACCATCCATCACTTTATTCCTTCAACACAAACACAATCACCACGATGTCCTCACCACCTCCTCCATCCTCCAACCCTCTCAAACGCCCCTCCATATCCTCTGCCTCCTCCCAACCCCTCGGCAGCCATCCCAAACGACCGCGCATGCACCCCCTCCGCCAGACCTCCTTCCCCAATACCATCGACGCAGACACGCGCACTTACAGCGACGCCGGCAGCGTGACGGGCAGTTTCACAGGTAGTTTAGGCGGGACCAGCGCAGATGGCGTGTTCCTGACGAAGGGAAAGAAGCGCGGCCGCAAGAGTAAAGCAGAGAAGGAGCGCGAAAGGGAAGAAGGGAGTCTGCGGGCAGGGATGGATCGACTGGGGTCGGTGGATGCGGATGGCGCGTCGGTGAGGGGTGGTGCTGGTGGCGGAGGTGCTGGAGGAGGAGGGGGAGAAGATGCAGATGAGGATGAGGACTTTGATGATGAGGGGGAGTTGTTGGGGAGGGAGGAGGGGACGACGGATACAGAGGCGGAGAAGAAGAATATGGCGTATGCGTCCCTCTGCTTCTAAGGTGTTTATCTGGCTTCGTGGGAGAAGTTGCTAACATGGTTTTCTCTAGGCTGCTGGTGGATGCATTCAATCCCATCCAGTCAGAACGATATGATTTGTTCAAACGAGCCAAGTTACGAAAGGAAACGCTACGACGTATTGTCAATCATGCTCTGTCGCAGTCTGTGCCGGCTAGTGTGGTTACCACGATTAATGGCTTTACGAAGGTCTTTGCCGGTGAGATTATCGAGAAGGCTCGTACCGTGCAGGCTGAGTGGGCTCTTGCTCATGATCAGGCGGCTTTGGCTGCCATTGAAGCTGAACAGGCGGCGACGACGACGACAACAGCAACAACAACAGCAACGCCTGGGGGTATAAAGCAGGAGCCCGTGGAGAGGGGCCCTATGTCTACGCCTACTGGGAAGAAGGATGTTAAGTTGCCTCCGAATCCCCATCGGGGTCAGTTACTGCCTTCGCATCTGAGGGAGGCGCTGCGGCGGTATAAGCGCGATGGAGAGGGTGGTGGCGTAGGGTTCTCCGGGCTGAGTATGGGTAATCTGGGGGTAAGAGGGTCGGTCACTTGGTCTGCTGGGAGTGTTGGGGGTCGGCGTATCTTCCGGTAAGAGATCATGGTGGGAGCTGGGTAATGGTAGAGCCGTGGGTGCAGAGTTGAGCGTGGATAGCAAAACGGTGGCTGATAAGGACCACTGCTGTGATGATATTGTTTAATACATGACGGTAGACAGATTGTCTATACTACTGACTAGACACTGCATACTCATTCTTATCATGATTCTAACTACTAGCATTCCAGGCGTACCCGTCCCCTTATAGCAGTGATAAATTTGATCCACCGTGATAATACATGCAACACGCATATGGTTCCCATAAATATTCCTTCTACTCTCATCAAGGCTTTCTAGTAGCCATCGGTTAGGGTCCTCATCGCACCATCTATCTCTCGAGGTACCTACGCTCCACCCCCATCCTCTGCATCTTTTCACCACCTTTCCTCGGTTCAATATAAAAACATCGATACTCTCCAATATATCTCTTCCGAAGATAGCAGCGCGCCCATCGACTTGTTGATCTCGATTAAAAGGTCTGATAAATGGAATTCTACCAAAATATTACGGGGAGGGGGCGGCAGAGAAGAGATAAGCAGTGTGGATGGAGAGAACCGAGGGGTCATACAGGGATCTCCTTCCTGCTGATTGGGAAATTAGGGGCCACGATGTGATAGGCTGTACGTGCATGCATTAGTCCAGGTAAGCCAACCTGAACAGCTCTTTGTCTCCCAACCCTTAGCAACCCTATTTAGTGTGCTTCCCTAACTCCTACATTTCCCCTCCTACCACCATACCATCAACATGGCTGTTAACGTTTTGAGTATAGGTATTTCCCTGCTCGTGATTGTATGCATCTTCTTCCTCACCAGACTACTCTACTTTTATCCGAATGAGACCTGATCTGTTTGCTCAGTACCCCATAAGCCGCATTATCTATAATCTGTTTTTCAGTCCATTGAGTCACTTACCCGGGCCAATTAGTTGGTCTGCCACCCGTTTGCCGTTCATTAGGGCGCTACTTCGGGGCACGATTGTCCATGACTTTGAAAGATTGCATCGCAAATATGGGCCTGTTGTGCGTACCGCCCCCGACGAGGTCAGCTTTGCCAGCGGGGACGCTTGGACAGACATCTATGCGAATCGGCCTGATG